TCTGTGTGTAGTACTTGGATCCAAGCAGACCGTTCTCCTCCGCGCCCCACCATGCGAATCGGACCTTGTTCTTGACATTGAATCTCCTGAGCGCCTTTGCAATCTCGAGAATGAGTGTGCTGCCTGAGCCGTCGTCGTTGATACCAGCGCCGGCTTGTACACTGTCAAGATGCGCACCGAGCATAATGACGTTAGTTGGGTCACCGTCTTTGGTCTCGGTGAAGACGTTCTGTGTGATGCGTGTTTCTACGGTTTGGGTTTGCTGGAAGTACGCTTCGATAGCTTCGCCGGCCGTGAGGCGTGCGACGAGGGGTTCAGCGTCGGCGAGGTTAATGTAGCCGGTTGACACGTATTCGGGGTTAGGGTTGGACAACGTGCCACCTGTAACGTTCGCAGTGTCGCTTGCGTAGATGATTACTGCAGAAGCACCAGCGGCAGCGGCAGGCTTCATGCGACCAGCGAGGGTAGTACCATCAGGGCAGGCCCCTCTTTGCACCAAAACGATCTTGCCTTCAACATCCAAGTTGTCGTAGGCTTCGTTTGTGCAACCTTCGGGTCCAGAAGCACCCAGTACAAGCGGAAGCGTCAATCCTTCCGGAGTGGTCGATGGCGAGTATGACAATCCAATGACACGGTAAGAGCTGTTGCTCACACTGAATTCGATGGACTCAATCTTGTTGAAAAGAGCCGGGAAATCCTGAGTCCATGTCTTGAAGTGTGTGTTCTGGGTTTTGGCGAGCATGTAGTCAACAGATGCAGCGTAGCCCGGAAGACCGAAAGCACGGTTGCCGCCATTTGCTTTTGCGATAGAGTCAAAAGCTTTGAGGTTACCCATCAACCTAGAAAAGTCAGTGTGTCGTCGAATCAACGAATAGACGTCCGTACTTCTCAGTCTTGATCTCAGCCTGGATTGGTCCAGATGATACCATAGGCCGGGGTCGCACAGCAGCGAATGCTTGCGCAGCGCCCGCAAGGACGATAGCACTGGAAACCTTCATGTTGTCACTTTAGTCGGCTAGCTTCTCCAGGACCCAAATGTGACGAGCGTGCGAGTAACGTCGCCCATGTTTAGGTGGCGGCGCCGAACTCATATACGCATGTTTCCCGCCACTTGACGTTCGGCTTCCTGGGTAAATGTAGCTTGTTTGAGCGCGGAACACCGTGCCTGGCCCACTCTTATCATCGTCTTGCAGGTGCTGTGTCCGGAAAAGAAGGTCACAAGAGAGTAGATCGGTCTTTGCCAAGTTGCCAAGGGGCAAACATTGATACCTGCCCAAAGGGCGATAGACTGGCTTGGCGGGAAGGTTACCATCGTCACGAATCCAGTCTCTTCTATCGCAAGGTGACCAGAGAAGTCGATATATCCGAACGGTCTCTGATTGACCGATGTAAAGCGATGCAAGCTTCACCGATGAGTACGTTCCGTGTCATGGCTCCTGGGTATTGGTGGTGTTGGCGTGTCCGAGCGGCGAACTGAATATGAATCCGGGACTATGATCCATGATAACAGAAACCTGCGACTGGAATACTTTTGGTGAGTTCATGCGGCTGAGTTGGATCCCAAGGTTGCGAAGAATGTGATGTGTCTTATCTTGACTTGAGTGAGGCGACGCCAGCATATATAGCTCGCGAAGGGCGCGAGTACCTCGATGTCAAGGTCCGTCTCTGGGCGCTTCCAAGCCCATGAACAGAGTAAACGTAAGGAAGCGTACTCGGTAAGAAGTCTGTATCGAAGAGAAATGTGAAAGTGTTAGAATTATTAGGCGAGATTGAATATCAGTGGTATCAAGGATCAGGATATCATCTTTCACCATGCAGCAATGGCGCTCGCTCGCTGTCACCAGCAACGCCGCTCCCATCGGCATCAGCAAGCTGCTGGTCTCTCTGCTTCTTTCTATCTCTCAGAACGAAAGACAAACCCATAGCGAGTAGGAAACCCTGGAGGATGCCCGTAAAGATGAACAAGCCCCAAGCACTCCAGCCTCCAGGTCCTAGCCTCGCATATAGACTTGCGGCAAAGACGAAGCTCCCCGGTGTCTGAATGCACATCATAGGGATGGATAGACTTCCGGTTTCCTGTAGTCTCCAAGTCATGAGGATCTGTGGTATGTATTGTATAGCGGCAAGGACGGTAGCAAGCAAGCCGAGGAAGTTTGCCCATCCGCGAACGTGTGAAGGGAGCGCGTATACGAAAACGACGGAGCCGATGAATGCGACGACGAAGAAGGCGAGCGAAACACCTAGGACGAGGACGGCCTCTTTCCATGTGGGCATGTCGGTATCTTGTTCTTCTTCTATAGCTGGTGAACTGCCTCGGGGGAAGAAGATGAGGAAGAGTAGCATGCTGTCAGTTGTTAGTGTCTAGTATGCTGAACGGTTGAGAGTGCCGTACATGAAGAAGAAACAACTCCACTGCACCCCGATCTGTACTATCCCGAGCATAGCTGCTGCGCATGGAAAGCTTCCAATCTCCTTACAGCATCCCATGTCCCTCGTGCTTTCCGGCAGGGTCAAGATATTCGCGATGCTAGCGGTTCCCGACACAGTCCCTAAAAGGACGAACATGGGGCTCAGACCACGCGATGATCGACGCGATATGATCTTGTAGTGCTGTGGAAGGTAGGATACGAGTATTCCGAGGACTATGAAGCTACGCGACGGTGATTAGCTGTGTTGACATGCGACGAACAGGGCAGGCTTACACGGAGACGCCAAAGTTGACCAGGTCGGGATACGCGAGTTCGGTACATCTTGGGTCGTCTGAATACATCGTGGCGGAGTAGATTTTTGTATACGAGAGCGTCTTGCTGCTAGATTTGCTGTGACTGAATCGCAGCGGTGTCAGTTGCCGCCTGGGGGAGCATGTGACGTAGGAAGGAGTGCACGCGTCGAGCGGACGCGGAGGCGACGGCTAGCCCCGAGCGCTCCTGCCTCGGCTGCGCGTACCTGCCGCATCAACTATCGCGAAGCCGACGATGCCACAACACTCATCAACCCCAACCCCATGATCATCCGATCTCCCAGTCCCTCTCACAGGCCGACATGGAGTTCCTCCCCGCCCTCCAGCATGGCATAGACGACCTCAAACCCTCGCTCTTCGAACTCCTGTCCGAGCAACAGCTCGCATCGCTCCTGCCCCCGTCGCTGCGCTACCTCCTCGCCATCACAACACCCCGATATCCACGCTACCTGCTCCCCATACTCAATTCCTTCGATGAAGTCTACGCGCTGCTTATGCTGCTCGTGGAGCGCCACTTCCTTCGCACATACGGCGGATCATTCACCGAGAACTTCTACGGGCTGAAGCGCGCCCGGGTGTTGAAAGTGCGAGGAGGTGAGATACCGCGCGCACAATTGGGCGCATCGGACAGCGTACGAGAGGCTGTAAAGCTGGGCAGTGGCGATATATGGAAGAATCTCGCCGTCCTGGTCGGCCTCCCATGGCTGAAGAGGAAGTTCGACGAGGGCTACGATGTCCACGCTGCGCATGCCAACCTTTTGGGACCCGGGTACAACCGTGACAGAGAAGGATTAAGAGCAGGGGCCAGCGTGAAGGAGAGGCTGATGCATTACTACAAGTGGTTTCTACGCAACATATACCCGAGTGTCAATGCCGCCTACTACTTCTCCTTGCTGGCCTTCAACATGGCCTACCTCTTTGATGGGACCAAGTATCATTCGCCATTCATGTGGGTCATCGGCTCGCGTATACGAAGACTGGGAGAGGCGGATCACAGGGCGATTGAAATTGCGACGGCGCCGAGGAAGGTTGGCCCGGCGCGGCCTGGAGAAGGCGGATCCATCTTCTCGCCAAGGAACATTGCGAGGAGCATAGAGCCGCGCTTGTTGAGTTCGCTGAAGATTCTTCTTCCAACCAGTATCTTCGCGCTCAAGTTCCTAGAATGGTGGCATGCTTCAGACTTCGCCCGACAGCTATCGAGGAAAGCCGCTGAAAACATCGACCTACCACCGCCAATATTACCTTCGTTACCGCCATCCGCGAAGCAACCTTCGAAACAGGGAGAGTCTTCCGAGAAGGCACGTCCGACATCGTCTTTGTCGGACCAACCACAACGCATCGACCCTCCGATATCCTCAACCACTCTCCTCCCAATCCTCACTGTACCCTTACCACCATCATCAACGTTATGTCCCATCTGCGTAACACCCATCGTAACACCCACAGCCTCGCCTACGGGATATGTCTATTGCTATACTTGCATACACAGGTGGGTTGGGGGTGATCACGACCGCCAGGTCGCCTTCATGGAGGGTGCTGCAGGATTTCGAACGGGTGATGATGGAGAAGCAGAAGATGAGGGCTGGGGTAGGGAAGAGGGAAGCAGAGAGGGAAGATGGGAGAGCGGTAAAGGAAGAGATGCTATTACTGGAAGGAGGATACTTGGTGGCACTGAAGGTTTGCGAAGAGTCGTTGTTTAGAGTTATTTTCGTGGCACGTCATACCCCTTAGCAATCATTCCACAAGACTAGTAAGGACTTGTGACTACTTCTAATTTACTCCGGACCTTTGTTGTCGTCGTGTTCGAAAAAAAAGCCTCTTTACATATCGTGCCTTTCGTTTGACGCTGAATCATTAAGAAGATTCGGTGACGTGATCGGGGTCCGGCGTAGTACGAGCCGATGAGGCATTCCACCTTTGGTTGACTGTGCGCACGCGCGCTAGGTCACGAAAATCAGCCTCAGCCGACGATATCCTGCAAAGATCAGCCGGCCTTCAACCTGCCGCAACCGCCGAATAGTCATAATCGTGCAGGTTAGAGTCACGACGTGCGCCCTTTACTGCCGCTTGTCATGTATCTAAGCCAGGGCGGAAGCCAACACTATTTTCGCTTGCAGCTGCCGCATTAGACCATGCATACGAATTCTGTCAGCCAATGCAAAAGTCATATGCGAGGGCCCATATCAGTCAGTCCCCACTCTTTGACTTTCTGGTAGTCCTGCCCTCTATATCTCTGCATTCCTCTTTCACCAACATATTTATGAGTGGGTGGCGCATCTGATCTTGGATTCGCGCTTCAAACCCATCAGCAATGGCCCCGCCAACGATACCAGCAGAACATTCTGTCAATGATTTCGCAAACGATGTCGCGTCTCAAATGGAGGGTTTCACTCAGTCACAGGGTATAGCAGAAGAGGCTATTGCACGAGATCGCGAGGAAGACGAGTCTGCATCAGAGGATGACGATGAGTCTTCCTCGGGTTCGGATACAATCCGGCAGCAATATTCCATGATAAATTCTTATCGCCGGCCTTCCTGGGTCAACCCAGGATCACGATCCACCGCCATAATATCGTCCAGCGTACCCGAAAGGAGTCATCTACCAACGTCATGGAAGAAACACAGTCATCTGTCGAAGAAAGAGAGGGAGAACGCGCGAGACGAAGAGCGGAGTCTGCTCCGCGACAACCATCTGATCCCGCCCAAGCACCCAAGAGCTGGAAGCGAGGGACCCTTTGATCGAGTGCGATCTAGAATGTCAATTTCAGGACTGCGAAAAGTCAAGAGCACGCCAGACGAGGAAAGCGCAGTCGAATCACCCTCCGAGCGAACAGCGCTATTGGGAGCATCTGAAGGTGATCCAGGCCAACCATACGGGGGGTTGGACTCACCCAAGACAATCAACAAGAAATGGAACGAGGCGGTTGCAGCAGGGAAGATCAACACGAGCTGGCAGCGAGAAGCTAAAGTCTTAACCAAGAGTTCCGCACCGCTTATCTTGACATTCCTACTACAGTATAGCTTGCCGGTAGCGAGTATCTTCACCGTCGGACACATTGGCAAAACCGAACTAGGAGCTGTGAGTCTGGCGAGTATGACGGCGTCGATAACGGGCTATGCAGTATACCAGGGTCTAGCAACCTCGCTCGATACCTTATGTGCACAAGCATACGGCTCGGGACGTCCCCATCTCGTTGGTTTACAACTGCAACGCATGTTGTACTTTCTCCTCTTGATCACCATTCCGATATCGCTCATATGGGCCTTTGGCACACAGATCCTCTCGCTCATTGTTCCAGAGAAGGAAACGGCACGCTTAGCCGGACTGTACTTGAAGGTTCTTATCTTTGGAGCGCCCGGCTATGCGGCTTTCGAAAGCGGAAAACGTTATGTACAGGCGCAAGGTATCTTCAGCGCGACTATGTACATTCTCCTCATTTGCGCACCACTAAACGCTTTCCTCAACTGGTTCATGGTGTGGCATCTCGGCTGGGGATTCATTGGCGCACCCATTGCTGTTTCCATAACAGAGAACATCCTTCCTCTGCTATTGTTTCTCTACGTCAGGTTCATCGACGGATACCAATGCTGGGGTGGTTTCGATCGACGAGCGCTCAGGAACTGGATGCCGATGGTGAAGCTTGCGCTTCCCGGCTTGATCATGGTGCTTGCCGAGTTCCTAGCTTTCGAGATCTTGACGTTGAGCTCATCGTGGCTTGGCCCGACTGAACTTGCGGCGCAGTCTGTGTTGGGCTCGATTACCGGTATCACCTTCCAGATACCGTTTCCCATGAGCGTGGCAGCATCCACGCGTATCGCTAATCTCATCGGCGCTACTCTGGCAGTTCCAGCGAAGACAGCAGCCAAGGTCGCCGTCTTTGCCTCGGTCCTTGTCGGCATCTTCAATTTACTACTCCTTTCGCTTCTTCGTGAGGCCATTCCCCGTCTCTTTACACCTGACGAAGAAGTCATAGACATGGTCGCAAAGCTCCTACCGCTATGCGCGACTTTCCAGGTCTTTGATGCGTTAGCCGCCAACTGTAACGGTATCTTGCGTGGCTTGGGCAGACAGGAGATCGGTGGCTATGTTGGATTGTTCGCCTACTATATCGTTGGTATCCCGATCAGCTTCGGCACCGGGTTTGGATCCCCACATTGGGGTCTGTATGGGCTTTGGAGTGTAAGTCTCGCTGCTGACACCCAATCTAACATCTGTTAACATGTCACAGGGACCTGCGATTGCTCTTGGCATAGTCGCTGCCATCGAAGGTGTATTCATATGGCGAACAAGCTGGGATAAAGCAGTTGAAGATGCAAAGGTGCGAAATGCTGCAAATTAGGAATGGCTATATGCGATGAAAAAATGTATCACTGCATTACCCTAGTGTTCAATGATGAACGAAAACGAGAAATTGCATTGATGTCATGTGTCTTCATGGCGTGTCTAGTGCTGAGTTACAGGCTTCTAAGTAATACATTGGGTGAAATGAATGATGGTATGCTTGGAGATTTCTATTGCCGAATACGAGTGAGTGACTGGATTGTGTCTCCTTGCAATAGTGTTGTAAACTTCGGTAATGACTGCTGTCTACCTTCCGCCTCCTACGGTATGCCTGAAATGTCCCATTTCTTTATTGGCTCCGCGCTCAGTCGAGAAGCTTCTGGGCCCACGGTGCACTCTCATACCAAGCGCGAATCTTCTTGCCGAACACATAGAGTGGAAGTGCAGCTCCCGTAACAATAGCAGCGGCCGATGCTAGAGTTCCGAAGACTGCCATAGGTCCAGCAGAATCAAGCCAGCCAATCATCGGAGTGATACCAACAGTGACAGCACCAGCCGAGATCATGTTGATTGAGGAGAAAGCTTGAGCAGAATGCTCGGGGTGACAGTCGATGACGTAGGCGATGGCAATTTGCACACCAGCGACACTACCCACGTTGGTGACTGTCATCCAGACGAGAATCCAGACTAGGGGTAGGCTGTTCTGGAAAGAAGCGCCCAGACCAATCAAGCCGACCATGGTGATTGGGGTCGAAAGCAAAAGGAGAACGAGGCGGAATTCGGGCTCGACCATGCCTTTAGTGGTACCGTTGTGGCGCGCCATCAGGCCGACCGAGGCGTCAGACATCCAGCCGAAGAACGGTCCAGACAGTAGACCGACCACAAATAGAGGCAGGTTGCTCAGACCGATCTGACTAGGTGTCAAATCATATGGAGGAGATGACAACAGAATCGACATGAAGGTGGACATGCCAGCCAGGAACAGGAATACTGTGGTGTTGAGAAAACAGCTGTAGAAGACGATGGGTGAGCTGATGAGGCCAAGGGGCTTGATAATGCCTTTGAAGAACGACTTATCCGAGAGTCGGCCGCGAGACAGAGCTAGCTTTTCGTTGTATGTCTGCCTTGCAGGTCGAATGGAGGCCTTTAGATCTTCCTCGTCCCATTCTGCGCTTAGCTTATCGGCGGGCACGTGGATTGTTGTGACATCGTCCGTCTTACGGTTGAAGTAGGCTGACTCGAAGATGGTAAGGTAGAAGACAGGGATCAGAGCTGAGTAGATGAGGGCGGTGATGAGGAAGTTGGCGGAAACGCCGAACTGATCGGTGACAAAACCGGCGATGATTTGACTAAAAGGGGCCTTTGTTAGCAGCTAGAGAGGTGACGGATTACTGTTATATAACTCACCCAACTTGAGCTCCAGAGTTCAGCATCAGATTCCACACCGCGATAGATCGACCTCGTTGGTGAACGAAGAAAATGTCGCTGATCGTTGCGGTAAGGAGGGTGAACAAAGGTGCAGAGAAGAGACCACCAGCTGTTCGAGCGACGGCTAGCATGGGGAATGTTGAAGAAAGGTAAGCCGCGAAGTTGGCTAGAGCAAGCAGTACAACGCTCCAGATGTAGAACGGTCTTCGCCCCCAAACATCCGTTCCCGCAACCGCGACGAAAGCTGCGGCTGAAGTCCAGAATGTTGGTGCTGTAAGCAGCCATGTCGACACATCGCCCTCATTGCTCTGGATCTTTTCGGTGAGCGGCTCCAAGCCTGGGGTAAGCATAGTTGTGGTTCTATGATAGATGAGCGTAAGGATTTGCCAGTCCAATCCGTATGAGAGAGACTTACGCGTTCGTGACTGCAGATCCAAAAGCGAGAATGAGCAGATGAATGCATTTCCACTTCAAACTCCAGTTCAGAGGGTCGTTTGGGTCGTCGGACGGTTGAGGGGAGAGTACAATGCCTCCATTCCTTTTGGAGGTATCAAGTTCGGGTACCTTGTCGTCGCTCGTATCCTTGACCCCTAATCTAGAGGTACCCCGAGGAAATGCTGACCGCTTGCTTTCCAATACACCCCAACCCATGATGACCGGCTTTGATGTTCAAATGGAGTTAATGCGGAAGGGACGGCCCGCGTCTCTTGAAGATCGAATGCGAAAGGTAGCAAAAAGAAGAGAAAATGCCGTCCAGCGGTTTGCCAATACCAGCAGGCGACGAAGCGAAAAAAAGTGCAAGTAGAGAGAGGTGAAGGAGAAGTCGAGAACCAGTCTACAGAACAAAATACAAATCGCTAACCACCATGATATATATCCATCACCATATCGTAAACTGCCCAGCCGGACGTTTTTCACGATCAGCAAACACGTTACGCATCCGACAGGTCGGGTTAGGCATAACTCGGCCGTTCGTGACGCTGCGACATGTCGCAGAGGAGTCTCACAAACATTTGGAGAACAACACGCGTGAGCCCTACTTAAGTCGTCCCCAAACCGGCATTGATCTGGGTCTTTGAACGTGCGCCTGGCGTGGTGCCTGACGCGTTATGGGGTTTAAGGCGTTTCGAGTCGCTGGGGAAGATCGCGAAAGAACGTTGGGATTGAGAAGTCCGAATGTCCGTAAGTGCCAAGCGCTGAAAGTCCGAAAGTGCGGGGAGACGCGCCGCCACATCGACGCCACGATTCGCTCAACGCTCAAGCTTGGCTGTCTCGTTCTATCATGCTAACTGCTGAGCATTACAAAGCGCAACAGTCTTCGTCCCCTGTGCAGAGGTCTGATACTACATGTAGATGCTGCAGGCGGCTGCTGTCTGGAGGACGCTGCCATCAGGTATCCGCGTCGCCGGAGGAAGGTGGACTTTGGGACGTTGACAACACGGACTAGAGTACGTAAAGACTACCTCTTGAAAGCTAATGCCGAGATGAGGCTGAGGATGCGGGGTCTCGCCACAATTCATCTTTAGAACAGAAGACACCAGCCCCGGCTCCTTCAAGATACCTTGTATCATATCAGTCGGCATTTTGAAACAGGCCAAATGTCTTGCCCCGCTCGCCTGTATCCCTTGCGCAAACCTCGAAATCATCGCGTTCCCATCCCTCGATGGAAACTCAGCCTGCCCACCAATGTCGAACAAGTGCTTACATCTTACGTTGGTATCGAGCAGCATGAGGACAGCGCTGTAGCTGCTCAGGCAAAAGAAGAAGGCGTCTGTGCTATCCAGCAATGGCTCGGACAAAACGATGCGCCAGAAGCAGTAGAAGCATTCACCATGCTAGACAATTACAGTCGCATCGAAGGGACCGTGTGGGTTTGCTATTGGAGCGATGAAGAAAGACGCAACAGTGCCATTGAATCATTAAACCTCAAAAACATACATCAGAATATATCCACCGCTGGTCAGCCTCTGATCGGGCTATGGCACGAAGGCTTCAAGGCATCCGTATCCCGCCTAGAAACCAACTACTCCGGCCTTGACTACCTCCCCGGACTAGCGAGATTACCTGGTGCCAGTACCGAAGAACACAATCTAAGCACGTACTGGGGAGCAGCTCGCGATCGCATTCCAGATTCCGCCCACGATCTTTTCCCTCGAGCGGCTGATATGCCGCGTCCAAATCCAGTGCCAACTGGCATAGGCCAACACCTGACAGGCACGAATCACGAGAACATGGTCCACATTCGCTCTGGACAGTATTGGGAGAACTGCGGCAAGGAAGAAGCAGATTCGTATGAGCAGAAACTCGAGCCGACCTTGCAGCAAGGCCTCAAATATCTACATGAGAATTCAACGGAGACTGGAGCACTTAGTATCCAATATCTTCGTAATGAGGATGTACAATCCCCTTGTGGTAGTAAGGAAGAGCGAAAGGAATCGTGTGGCGCGGGCTTCTTCGCCAACCTCGAAGACCTAGAGCATTGGGCCAAAAGCCACGCGTCGCATCTGAAGATCTATGGTGGTGCACTTGCACATTACAAAGCGTTTGGAGATGAGAGGAGATTCCGGACATGGCACGAGGTATGTGTCATCAACAAGGGCGACGCTATGTTTGAGTATGTGAATTGCTCGCCTGAGACGGGTGTTATTTCAACCCTGCCCCTCCAAAGCGGGACGATGTAAAGCTCAATATATATTTTGAATGGATAGTACTCCGACAGGTCGCTTTTCCAACCACAAAAACCACCCGGTTGGAAACTCCGAAAAGAGTATGCCATAATGACAACGCCATAGCAATGCAAAATGCGACATACACGCACCATGGTATCGTACACATCATTTCTTGGGTCCAGATCTAGCCAGCTTCCGCATAAACGCATTCTGGACACCCTTGGTACCCTTGAGCTCCTTATTTCTGCTCTTGTTGACCTCCATGTAGGCCATGGTTTGGCCACCGGACAACTCGGATAGCGTACCTGCTGCTCGCCTCACACCGTTCTTCTTCCTATTACCCTTATTTGAGGCGTACTTAGTGCCGAAAGCATCACCCTCAATCCTCTCTTCTTTTGCGTCTTCTTCGCGGGCAAGAAGGACATCCATCAGTAGCTCTCGGCGCTCTTGCGGTGTCGCAAACGCCAATTGTGAGAAGTTCTCCAGTCCTTCGAGACGCGTGATGACCTTGAAGGCATATCCTTGATCAACAAGGAAGGCTTGTCGCTTCGACGAATAGTACATCTCGTCGGTGTCTTTGGAGACGAGGGAATAGAAGAAGGCGTTGAAGCCTTCATCGTTCCTGCGCTTCGCCCTCAAAATTCTGCCCAAGCGCTGTGCTTCTTGACGACGGGAACCGTAGTGGGAAGAGATTTGAATGAGACACGTTGCCTCGGGTAGATCGAGACTGGTGTCACCAATCTTGGACAGGAAAATAGTGTTGACAAGCTCGTTGTGTTGAAAGTTCTCCAAAATACGGAGACGTTCTTGTTGAGGTGTCGCGCCGTAGATGTAAGCCTTGCCCAGTTTTCGTGAGTATTTCTCTAGTGCATAAACATTATCAGAGAAAACAATGATCTTGTCGCCTCGTGACTCATGGTAATTGATCAAGAACTGGCAGGCTTGGAACTTCTTGGGGTTCATGATGGAAAGCAGTGCACGTTTTTGCAGGGACGATGGTTTGAGCCACTCGGTGTAGAACTCGGGTGTCATCTGGCACCAGACTTCAGCGCACTGGACTTTGGCGATGTGACCTTGCTCCGATAGCTCTTGCCAGTTAGCTTCGTACAATTTGGGTCCAATCAAAAAGTTGAGGTCATCGATCTTGTCATCTTCTCGCAGCAGTGTAGCAGTAAGACCGAGTTTCGCGTGTGATGCGATCTCATAGGTGACCTTCTTGAAGATGTTGGCGGGTACAACGTGCACCTCGTCGGCAATCAGCAGACCCCATTCTCTCTCACGGATGAACTGCATGACCTTTTCGGCATCATGCGAACGCTTCCTAGCGTTACTGATCATAGAATAGGTGCTGATAATGATACCGGCCTGGCGGGGGAACCTGGTCTTGTTATCGGCAGTGAAGACAGCAACGTCCTCTGGGTTGATGTTGGACCATTTGATGAATTCGGCTCGCCATTGCACAACAGACATGGCGCTCGTGCACAGGACGATGACGGATTTCTTGACACCACAGGCAGCCGTGATGCCAACCAAAGTCTTACCTGCGCCACAAGGCAACACGATGATGCCGGAGCGCGCTCGAGAGTTGGAGAACATCTTACTCAGAGCCTTTTCCTGGTAGTATCTGATTTGCGCGTGGGGTTTGAGATCGATTTCGAGGTTCGGGTTGGTATCGTCGTTGTTGAAGTCGTATTCCTCCGTGAGCGGCAGACCGATGCTCCGACAGCGCTTGACGACCTTTTCGCGCTCTTCGCTTCTGATTTGAAACGAGTGGACTTGGGCCACTTCGTCATCGTCGTCGTCTTCTCGAAGCGTGGCGATCATGTCGCTTGGCGGCGGCTGCTGTACAGCTTCTGGCTGTTGCTGCTGTGCCATGTTGTTCGCACCAGCAGCGAGCTTGGTACCCGGAATAGCCATCTGACCAATCTTGGGGGCGGCCTCCTTGATGAGACCGTCTGTTGAATCTGCCCGACACTCGGCGACCACAGGATCGCGTAGAAGCTTCTGTAGTATGGTAGGGTCCTCGCTCTCAATGTACGACAATGTCTTCTTGAGCACGATCTTGGCCTTGCCGAAGGCGGAGGTGGACTTTTCGACGAATTGCATGATGGCGGCGGATAGAGCTGTCTTGGAGTAGCGGTCGAGTTTGTCTATGATCTCCTGCTTGGAATGCCCAACACTGACGGCGGCGAAGAGGCTGTGGGTGGTAAGCTGGTACTCATGCATCTTGGAGACACGCGACTGCGGCTCGGCGATGTTGATCAAAAAGTCCTGGGCCTCATCGAAGAGAAGATGGAAGGACTCGAGGATGATTCCACCCGCGTCGTTGACCCAGAGCGGGCGATTGTGATGGTCAGGCTTCAGCTCCGCACTCCACTGGTCTGACTTCCTGAAGAGATCGGCCGCTGCGTCTCTGACCCTACCAGCGCGCGCTCGCTTTGTCATGGCCTTGACGTCGAACTCCTCTTTGAGCTGGTCGAACGTCTCCTGATCACTCATGGGGCCCTCATCGTTGTCGTCCCAGCCATCCTCGGCCTCTGCGTCTGCTGCCGTCTGCGCGAGCTTGCGCTTGGGTGGCATCGTGGCGGCCGCCTGCTGCTGAAATACGGAGCCCCCTTATGTATCGTTGTAGTATACGGTTTCGAGAATAGGCGAGCGGTGGGAGCGACAAGACAGACGGGTGGTATGGATGTGGAGCGGTCGCGGTGAAGTGTCGGTGGCGGAGGCAGCAGGCACAGGTGAAAGAAGGCGCCGCGGTGATTATGTAATGACGTATGGCACCTGCATTCGCGTCTGGACCCAAATGCACCCTCTGAACAATCTCTGGGCGTGGAGCAGACGATGACTGTGCTGGTTTGAGCAGACGACGACGATGTACTCGACTGGGTGGTGAGTCTGAACTGGCAACGCGCCCAGACGCGAAAGCATGTGAATAGCCGGCGTTTGTTCGGGGGCGCTGCCGACGTCACTCTCGGCGAGGCTGCTCTCACCACATCTACTGTGTCAATCTACCGCACCTAGAATGCGCACATGACGCCGTGACATGCTTGCCAATGGGTGCATCCGACTCAAAACTGTCCTTCAAGCAGGGCGTCTTCCGCCTGTCTGAGCCCAAGCAGATCCCCGCCGACGACGCTTACTGGACTGGCGTATGCTCTGCCCTGCCCTCTGCCCTCTGTGCTGTTGCTGTACTGACGACGGCGCCAGTTCTGGGAGCTGCCCGAGTCGACGGAAGATGTCTTCTCGCTCTTCTCACCCGCAGACATTCGCCGCACCCGCGACAACAACCTCGCCAATCTCGAGACGCTCATCCTCGCCGTCACCTCGCGCCTCATAGTCCTGCGCAATCACCCCTCCTTCCCCGACCCCGAGCTGGCCCCGGAGCGCGACGCCCTCAACTGCATACGGGTCCTCACGCGACTGCTGCCCTTCTTGTATGAAGCCGACCACCTCGAGACCTGGGAGGACCAATTCTTTTGGGCCGCGCGGCGGAAGCGCAGTCGGCGGGGCCAGCTGGTGCGAAGCGAGATCATCTTCGACGAGGCCGACCCTGAGCAGACGCCCACTGAGAAGGAGCCTGAGTTCGAGAAAGCCAAGCCGCTGGCCGAGGAGATCATCGACACGCTGATTGACCTGCTCTTCTTCTCCGACTTCACCCTTCCCAAAGTCGCGGCTGGCAAGAACAAGGTCTCGTATGCGATATGGCAGAGCGGCGTTGGCTGCAACACGCCCGTCGCCTCGACCAAGGAATTTGAGAGCAACAGGACCGAGATCCTGCGCTTGCTGCTTACTTTAGCCAGCAAGTCCATGTACATGTCCGCGGGCGTGCTGCCAGTCAAGGGCGTTAAGGCTATCACCTACATTGCGACCTGTCCCGACAAGCAGGTCGTTCTGTCCGTCCTCTGCTCGCTGCTCAATACCGTGAGTGCCTCGATATTCTCTGTTATGCACTACTGAATCTCGCAGACCCTCAAATACAACCCCGCAACATGGCGCGTGCCATACGACCACGTCGTCTTTAAGGACCAGCGACAGGTCCTGGTTACCTACTGCTTGCAGTTGCTCCTCGTCCTCGTCCTGTACCCCATACCCGAGTCTGGAAACGGCCCAGCGCCTAAGAACTTCTTCCGTCATTTTCTCGGCCGTCTACACCGTCCCCAAGACTTCCAGTTCCTGGTTGATGGTATGACGAGAATACTCAATCAGCCGGTATGCAACACATCCAATGCGCTGTTTTCTCTCGCTGATACAGAATAGCTTCAAGCCAACACCTCCTATCTTCCTGGTAGCCACAAGTCACTGACCTGGGCACCCGAAATGATCATGCTGTTTTGGGAGGCACTGCAGTGCAATAAGCGCTTCCGCTCCTTCATCATTGACACCGATAGGGCCCACGATTTCGTCGTCTTGGTGCTCTACTATGCCATCGACCAGCGGAATGATCTGTCAAAGCAGGGTCTTGTGCGCATGTGCATCTTCGTGCTTCAGACGTTGAGTGTCGAACCACAATTTGGCAAGAGCCTCAACAAGACATTTGAAGGGCAAGAGTCGCTTCCAGCTAGCATACGCATACCCAACTTCCACGGTACATACGCCGACTACGTCATCACGGTATGTATCACCATTAAAATCAATACCTGTGCTAATTATGCTAGTCTATATATACCCTACTCACCACTGGTAAAGGCAGGCTAGACGCCATCTACCCTGCTTTACTCGCAATCCTCAACAACATCGCGGCTTACGTTCAGAACATAGGACGCGCCTCGAGCTCTAAATTGCTCCAACTCTTTGCGTCCATGTCATCTCCTAGCTTCCTATTCGCCAACGAAAACAACCACACTCTTCTGCAATCATTGTTAGAAGTTCTCAATGCTATGATTGAGCATCAATACTCACGTAAGATCAGCAACCTTGGCCCTCTTTTACTTGTTCTAACTATCTTTAGACAACCCAAACCTGGTGTACGCTATCGTGAGATCGCGGAAAACGTTCCAGGCACTGCGAGACTTCACGTTGGAGAGCGGCCAAGAAGAAATCGAGCGTCAGAACCAGCAACGCAAAGAAGGCGGCGAAGACCTTACACGAACTAGTTCCATTGACAGTCTTAGAAGTCCTACGGTAGCTCGCACACCTACTCTGGGCAATGTACCGGAAGAGGACAGTGCTTTCGCTATTGGCGACGACGATGATTCAGACGCAGAAGATGCACGCCCATCAGAGCCATCAAGATCCCCCGTCCCATCACAGTCAGGAGCTTCGAGAAGCGCGTCAAGAAGCGCATCCATAGCCTCATCTATAGACGACTCTGTGCCGCTTCAAGTAAGGGGCATGTCGGAGAAGGCAAGGGGCAAGATGCCAGTTGGCCAACCTGCCTTCTCTCGGCAGAACAGTATGACCAGTCTCCATAGTCTGGCGGGCCCAGCCTTAGCCACTAATGAGTTCTTTACTCCCTCCGTCCCATGGGTAAGTTTGCACTGTACAGACCACAAGCTTTACTGACCTCTGTAGTTGGAAGGATGGCTTTCAGAACTACCGATGCATACTATTTTAATGCTGATATCGGAACTCGGTCCCAAGATGCCCAGCTCAGGCAGCGCCAATGACACAGCCGCAGCGTTGAAAACTATACGCGAGACCGAGGTGCGTGGAATTGAGCCTTCGCCCATCAGAGTGCACCTCTTCGAGTGGTCGGCCTTATCTCTGGGTTGGTATGAGTCGCTACTCTGGGGATTTGTCTTCGCAGCCGAGATGGTTGTAGCCAAGGGTACTGCCGGGGTATGGAACAACACTAGCATAAGGTTGTTCAAGGTTCAAGAAGCTGCGGCCACAGCGCCTTCACTTCTGCAGCCAAGAGGGGCTGTAGATGCAGTCGGGACGAATCTCGTGCAGCGAATTGGCTCCCTCAATCTACGCGGAGTTGCAACCCAAGGCGCGCAACGCTCCCCAACGAGCAGCGGCAATGCCGGCGCCAACACAGTTAGAGACGTGTAACAAATGTCACGGAAATGTTATTTCAGCCACATGGCAAATATTGGCCACAACTTCCATCGTATTCAAGAAGGTTTATAGTATCGCGAATGCTCATTGGTGTGCCTGGCATGCGGGTTAGGCCTTTTATCCTAATCAGACCCTGACGTTTGCCGATCATTTAGGCTCGACTGCACAGCCACAACACTCGCCACATCTTGGTGCGCTAGAGATAGACAGCCAACAACAGTGTAAGGACGTCTACATGCGACCCTAGATTCGTTTCATGGCTCTACAATGAAGCAAAACGCGCAAGCTCCAGGCTGTTCTGACGTGCCTCAGGACGATCTTATCTTGTTATGCGTTCGCGACGGACGAAAGTGTTCGAAGGTCAAGTGGAGGTACCCCATGATTATGTAGTGCTCCCGCAACCCAATAGTGTACATTGTACTTTTTTGCATTAATCTTCGCGTCTTGATCCTTTGGTAGCGAAGTCTTCGTGAATATCTTACGGCTGCTGTGTACAGATGCGACATTTGGACAGAGATAGAATATACATGACAGGTATTTACAGTTGCGCCCCCGGCCCTGCGACTGGCACTAAAGAACAGAACAGACTCACTTCAATATCCAATCTACCTCTGCAACCATGAATACATCCGCACCTCACGACGATGAAGCCATCACCACGTACAGCATGCACGTGCGTATCTCCTCACTGTCCACCCATCACCAGGCCGAAAAGTCTAACCGCAAAACAGGTCTCCGCCAAATACCTTGAGCTCACCAAGAAGAAGTTGGAGTTGACACGCCTACCGCGTGAACTAGAATTGCCAGATGAGAGGATATGGGAGCAAGGTACACCGAAGAGTGTACTTGAGCCGCTCTTGGACTTTTGGTACGTTTCCTCTTTCTTCTACACCCGACCTTCACAAAAACTGACATTCAAACAGGCTCGAAGGTTACGACTGGCGGGCCGCCGAATCGCGCTTCAACTCGACTCTCCCTCAATACCGCACCACCATCACCATACCCTCCGCCGTCACCTCCACTGATTCCACACAATCGCTACGCATACATTTCGTACACAAGCGATCTAAACACCCCAACGCCATCCCATTGCTTCTTTGTCACACATGGCCGTCGTCGTTCATCGAGGTCCAACGCGTCATCGATGGGCTGACGGATCCACACTCTCTGGCTGGTCATGCGAACAGTGCACAACAGGCTTTTCATGTTGTGGCGCCGAGTATACCTGGTTTTGGGTTTAGTGATGCAAGTATGGAAGAAGGGTTTGGTCTGCATGGGACAGCGGATGTGTTCCAGAGGTTGATGGGGAGGTTAGGATACACACAATTCGTCGCTCATGGAACGGGATGGTAAGTCATATACTTTTGTGATCTCGACTTTGGCCACGTGGTCGCTGACGAGTCTTACAGGGGATTTGGTATATGTCGCGCGTTGGCATTAAGACATCCAGAGAGTTGTCGGGCAGTGCATACTACGAATCCATCGTTTGACAAGCCGAACTTGAAGAGCGGGCCGATGCGTTATCTCAAGTACCGGGTTACGAAGCTGACACGGGCAAAGGTGCCGTTGTTGAGTTTTGGATATATGCCGAATGAAGTGCAGACACCTCCGAAAGGCCTGCATGGGAAAGACCCGGCAACGTTGGATGCTGTGTATGGCGGTGAGCCGCTAGGACCCACGCTACATCGTCTCTACTCTCTTCGGCCGCAGACATTGGCCTTCTCTTTATGCGACTCACCTGTGGGATTGCTTGCCGCCTTGCTCGATGTTATACTACATACGAGAGATGTACCACCCCGTCCGCTCTCGTCGCGGCCAAGGAGTCCCTTTCTTTCACCGGTTGAACTGGAGATGCAGCGAGGCGAGGAAGAGCAAGAGGAAGAGGAGGATGTGCCTTCGACATCTATGGCACAACCTGGAGGTGCGACGAGCCCAGATAGAGTGGACGGCGATGGGAAAAGTTACACATGGAGTCCTACGGAGGTGTTGAACTTTACAATGTTGCAATGGTTACCAGGGCCTGAAGCGGTACGTTACCTTTTTCATATATTTGACGCGCTTGTCATGAGGAGGTTGGGAGGTACTCGCCGCTGTTCGTGACGTACTCTTTGCCACTTGAAGATCTGCTGAGGCCTATCTTGGTCTACCCTTGAAGTCTTCGTCTGAAGTTCCTCACCGCTGACGTCTGACGACGGATAGGCCCTCCGCTGGCTCCGCCGCGCACACATCGACATGCAATCCCCCTCTTACCAACCCTTCACATCCACTCCCCTTGGCATCTCCACGTTCCTTCATCCTAACAGCAGCACCGCAACACCGCTAATGTGGGGTGCACGTTCCTGGGACATATCCTGGGTGAAGCGCCATGCTGGCCGCCCCGCAATGTTGCCAGGCTTCGAGGCACCAGATGCGCTAGTATTGGATCTGAGAGAATGTTTCGAGATGATGATCAATAGAGGGAAGCTGAAGTTGAAGATGCCTGAAAGGGAAGGTTAGGTGGTAATAAGTGTTGATTTAGGATATAGATATATCAGGTTTGTTGTATGCGATTAAGCTGGAACAAAGACGGACGGGTGCGCCTGGTGTTTCGGCCCGTAGTAACGAGTACTGGGAGTATGCTTGCTTGTTGCAGGGTCTGTGCTGGCGCCACAGGGCCTGGTGTCCTTATGGGGAGGTGTTATACATGTATACGCAGTTTGTGCGATTATTATTCCGGGCAACAGAGTCAACTTCGCTATATTGGATGATGTGAGTTTTTCGCCCTGCTGTAAGAGGTGGTCGTGCGCAGTGATGTAGAGCAGTTACATTAGAATTGGGATACTTGGACGACGGAGATTGCGAAGGAGCGTAGACTAACATGCCCATCGGGTTCTGACTGATGGCGTAAGGCTGTGCTGGTGAGATCAGGTACCATTGGCACGTACGTGTAAAGCCGTGATCATGTGCTGCTAACCCCAGCTGGGCGTAGTGTGGAATGGCAGAGGCAGCATGTTCCCTGATGTACATAGCAGCAGCCGATCATGGCAGCAGTGGCAGTCGGACCTATTCGCGTCTTGTGTCAGGCACATGGCGGGTGGCCGAGTCGGGTGAAATGGCAGACGGCGGGGCGCTCCAGCCAACTGGGACGGGCGGTGACGTCCTGATGCGAAAACACCGCACTCGTGAAAAATCGCTGTCGCGTGAAGGCCCGAAGCTTCCACGACGTCGCCCCAGCACCACACACGTCAAATTCCCCTAGTGAAGTTTGCATCCACTGCGCACAGTACGTCGCTCTCCTGACACTCTGCACACGCCCATCTCTCTCGTGCCTGCCGTGTGGGAATATAACCTCGTCACGTCCGCCCGCTCATTCACGCAGATTCTATCAGCGCCCAACGCCATTGCATTGACTCTCTGCTCAACGCTGCCCACCAAACCTACATCGTCACGCTGGCAGACCTACTCTCCTCCCTCACCACCACTGCCTAGGCTTCAGTAGCCCGCAGACCGTCTATCGCCGCCCACCTCGGCTCTTCTATGCGTCGCGAGGACCTGGTACGCTTTCTGTCCAAGCCTGCGAAGTGAGTCGTTGTCTCCGCGAGAAGCAGCGTGCAAGACATCCCAAGGGCCAGTGCTGACTATTCACAGGCCTCGATAACACCCGCCACGCCCCGTCCTTCACCACCCACCATCGTACCCATTTAAAGCAGATCTCCTCGTCTGCTGGACCCGATACTTCCCCAGGGTATCGGAATCTGGTATCGCGAGGACCCCAACCGCTGCCACCATTTCCCGGCGCAAGGCCTCGTTTATTCCCCTCAACGCCCGACCTCCCTAACATCGACTACGGTCGGTTACCCTCTCCTCCATAAACTGCTGCTGGCACACGCCAGCCTCGCCTACTCTTTGCGACCCGTGGGCCAATTCTTCTCAGGCGAGCACCGCATTGCTTGTCTGAGCGAGGTTGTGCTGCACATAGCTTCTTAGCTAGCCACCTCTCCAAGCTTCCGTACAGCCACGGCCACCAACCACACCTATCATATCTGTTCGTGCGCGCGACAGCCACACAGTCAAGAGATGGTCGCTACTGAGATTCCTCAGCACTACACTGCCTCGCCTTCGTCGCACATTGGCACCCCTCATTTGACCATCAACAAGGAGGCTACCATCGATCTCGACTCTACCAACTCGTTTGAGGGTCCTGAGAAGCTCTTGGAAGTATGGTTTAGCGCTTCTGCTACCGAACTGCCTGGACAGGCCGGCCCAACTGGACTGAAGACGGTGTCGGCCGATGTCTGGAAGGACATGCTCGATCTTGTCAACTGCAAGGTTCTTTCTGTCATCGAGTCTGAACATGTCGACGCTTACCTCTTGTCCGAGTCGAGCATGTTCGTCTTTCCTCACAAGGTCGTGCTCAAGACCTGCGGAACCACAACTCTACTATGGGGTCTCACCCGTATGCTGGAGATTGCTGCAGGCGTCGGCTTCCCCTTCGTTGCACCCAAGGCATCAGGCGTCGCGCCAGCCGCCACACCATACCGCGTGTTTTACAGCAGGAAGAACTATCTCTACCCCGATCAGCAGCGTGGACCCCACCGCAGCTGGCGTGATGAGGTTCGCTACCTTGACGACCGCTTCCAGGGTGGCAGTGCCTATATGATTGGCAAGATGAACGGCGAACATTGGTACCTCTACATCACCGGTCCAGACACTAGCCTCACTCCACCTCCCAGTCCTGGTGAGGAGAAGCTTGCGCCTGATACCGAGACCAAGTTCGTGAGCCACCCCCAACGCATGTTGCGTGAGCAGGCCACCGACGAAGAAGAGGACGAGACTCTGGAGATCCTGATGACCGACCTCGATGAGAAGAACGCCCGTCAGTTCTATCTAGAGGACGCAAGTGCGGTTGCGGAAGGTCGCTACATCCAGAGGGCCCGTGAGGCTCGCAAGAACGCCATCCAGTCCCTAGGTACCATTGCCGAAGAGAATGGCCACAGCGAGAGCCTCGGCGGCTCCACTGTCCTCAATTCCGCTGCTAACACCCATACCTCTGACGACAGCTTCGACGTGTTTGAGCAGACTTCTTCCGACCACTCTGGTTTCAACTCTGACGAGGAGCTTACTTTCCCTGAAGAGTTGACCACTGAGGGCCACACGCTCGGCACGGTCGTTTCTGAGCACTGTGGTCTGGCAGATGTTTACCCTACCTCCAAGTACCCCGACGCCCGCATCGATGCCTACCTGTTCACGCCCTGCGGCTTCTCTGCCAACGGTGTCATTCCCGCTCCAGGTGGTGCTCCCAACGGCTCCAAGAAGGGTTCTGATGCCACGCACTACTTCACCGTGCACGTCACGCCTGAGCCCCAGTGCTCCTACGCCTCGTTCGAGACCAATGTACCTGCCCGCCAGACTGGTAGAGAGACGGCTGACGTCGTCGAGCATGTCGTCGGCATCTTCAAGCCTGGCAGGTTCAGCGTCACTCTTTTCGAGGCTAAGCCTACTGCTGACGAAATGCCTGCCAAGAACATTGAGAAGGCGAAGAGGATGGAGACAATTGCGGGATACCGTCGGGTCGACCGCATTGTACATGACTTGGATGGCTACGATCTTGTCTTCCGATACTACGAGCGCAATGATTGGAAGGGTGGAAAGCCTCGACTTGGCGAGATCTTCTGAATGGGTCTGCGATGGAGTGGCCGTACACAGTGGCATACTGTTTTGATGTTTTGCGAGTATACTCATTTGGTATTTTGTACAGCGTTGCTGCACAGTCACTACAATGTCTAGCTAGCGCTTCGGTTTGTTAGGTGTTTATTCAGGTCATAATCAAAGTTAAACTTCAAATTATATACTTCATGTCCAACACTCTTATTATGCGTGTAACTTTGGGTGCTTTTCTTATTGTTCAAACTAGGTGACTAAATTGCGTCTGAGCCTGCCCATCATCCACTTCCACTCAACGGCAGTCCTTTTCCCACCGTCACTACCGCATCGGCGTCTGTGTTTGCTTGCCTGTTCATTTCCGCCCGTTGCAAACGCTGCTCTCCCACAGCGAGAGCCACTCGCTGTCTATCCCTCAGACACCGCCAGCTAGCTCTTGTTACTCACAACATACCGCCCTTTGCCTTCACCTATAGCTTCTCATCTCTTTTTTGTAAAGGCGGGGTAGGCAACGCACCTACCACATCTAGAGTGAGAGACAGATGCCTAATTGTTTGACCGCTAGTAGAGATGGGACTAGGTACTACATAGGGTGTCTCTTCTGTGATTCAAGGTTTAACTTCTTACACTACACCATACTCGCACCTCAACAGCAACAACAAGTCTGTGCTAGTCACACTCCCTTTTCCAGCTTCTATCGACCCTAGCCAGCATCGTTGAGATGTCTTCCCGTTCCCTACGCTCAGGGAAACCCTCTGACGGCGCGATGCGCTATTCGCCGTTTGAAGATGACCGCGGTCGAATGCACGAACCTCAGGATAACAGCCGGGACTACCACCCAGACAATGCAGCCTCGGACGATGAAGATGAAGGCCCAATCCCATCACTTTTATCTTCGAAGCCGAGGGTGATGGCACCGAGCGTGTCCATCCCACGACGTCGGGTAAGCAATCAAGAAGATGTTGTCTGTCACATAGAAATACTAACCTTTTATAATTAGGGAGGAAGCGTCGAAGTGAGAATGCCTGCTGGCATAGCAAAGAGTCCGAGAGGCCAAGCTCAACCAGCACTCTCGTCGAAAGCCCAAGGAAAGCAACGTGCTCCCGACCCGCCAAAGCCAAATCCAACCCGCGCAGTATCCGGCTCGGAATCAAATGAGCCTACGCAAGAAGAGGTTTCGGAAGAACAAGAATCTGGAACTCACAACGCCCATGATGTAGGTACCCAAACCTTACTCTTACAACTGCGCTGACAGGGCACTAGATCCAATATACGATTGATCCTCACGAGACTAGCCGCGGCACAGATTATCACATTAGTTTCTCGGCCAGAGGACTGCGTAAGGAAACCCGAAAAGTACCTTTCGAACAAATTACCAAACACATGAGGATCTGGAGCAGGTGGGTCAAAACTGACTCTGCTGATCGGCAGAGGGAGTACAAGAATAAGTTCGGCCGCTACCTGAAGGCCAAGCTGAAGTAGTATCATGGCCGTTCTTCGCCTCTTCTCAAGTTAGGTTAGTCTTCTCTTCTTCAAATCGCTTACTTTTCTCTTTACTCTTCAACATAGCTGACATCCCTAGAGCAGACACACAGCACTTCTCTTTGGACTGCCTGGTCTCACACGTTCGGTCTTTGAGCTTCTGTTTCTTTTCTTTCTCGAGCATTATTCCAAGCGTGGTTTTGAACTCTGGCCAAATGAACATGCGCATGGGCGCGTCTGTTCGAGCTTGGGGTCATGCGAGTGCCTTAACTGCTCTAGCACATGCACTTTTCTTTATCTTTTCTTGTGCTGACTGTGCTGCTTTCGACTTCACATACTCTTCACACTGATTCTACATGTACCTTCTTAGTGAGCACACTAGCTTTTGCATTCAGTTCTTCTGCTAGTAACACAGCTTCTATGGATAGCTAGCTTTGTACAAATACATAAAAGTGCTTACCTTTACCTTTTATACCTCTGCCGCCTAAGTGCGCTGCTCTTTAGAAAATCTATGTGCATGTTCTTCTACCTCTACATAATATTAGATGCTGTGCAGAGCAAGACCCTGCAGGCTCTGTCTATGCATAGACAGGGCTTTGTTAAGAAGTGTAGAGCAGGCGGGGCGAGGACGATAAACGATGCTGCACAGTCAGGCACCGTCACGTACTGTAGGCAACACTACAGTGACGGCCTCGTACTCTTGCAAGAATACGCCACAGAAAGATAGTGAATAAGGCAGAATCACGCCAAATCGGCGCGAATCCGCGCCAATTTAGGCCACATTTAGCTTTGAAAAAAAGATAGGATGTTGGCAGCTTGCAGTGAATAAGCAACCTGCAGGCAACCTGCAATGCGCAACCTGCGCTGAGATCGTGTCACCCCACTTCACTCAGACATTGCAACACAGGCAACTCTTAAACCGCGGAATATATGAATCGAGAGAGAAGGTGAACTGGGGAAATCACGAATTCTGATTCGACTACGGAGGGAGACTGTTCCTCGACACTGAATCAAGTTCATACATATCTATCATACACTTCCCTTGCCATCTCCACCGTCCATCCGCTCAAGTGCCTCTCTGACCTTTGCTACAGCTTCCCTCGCTGCCCTTCTCTCAGCTACACTTTCATCTTCAACGTACTCCTTGCCTCCATTCTTGATGATGAATCTGACTCTCTCCTCTGTACCCTTCAACGTGCGTCTACCCTCTTCTCTCAGGGTACCCTCCCATGATTCTCTGGCACCTTCCCATAGTTTCTGCATGCGGCGAAGAGAAAACGTAAGACCGAGTGCCGCGACGGCTGAAGCCTCGAAGACGGAGAAGGTGGACATGGAGGCGTAGAGCAGTGCTGAGGCAGCAGACGAGAGGGACGTTGTGCTGAAGGTTTGTAGGAGAAGTCGTTGAGCGAGTGCCTGCAGAGGTGGCACGGTGTCGTTGATGAGTTCTGTGCGAGCAGCTGCGATGTGTTGGGGCCATGGTATTGGTTTCCGGACGTTGGTGGATAGATCTATTCGCGGGTTCTCTGCTGTCGGCGCTGTGTCCTGCGTTGTCACTTCCGGGATATCGGCAACGGCGAGATGTTGGACGTCATCTGGGAAACCAGCTTGGTTCATGCGACCGGCGAGGTAGATGCTGTTCTTCTCCGCTGAGACGAGCCATCGCCGCTCGAGGATCTCCGAGCTTATCATCGTGACGTCGTCCACACGCCAGAGAAGCTTCCACCAAGCCAACTTGTGCCAGTTTCGAGCCGTGAAGGCTTCATCAAGCTCGTCACGGAGCTCCGCATGAGACTTCTCAGCCCAGGTCTCGAGATGACCGACGATGGAGGTTGTGACGTCTGATTGTGTCTGGACCGGAGCAAGCTGTTGCAATCGAGCAGCGTCTTGTTTGGTGATGCTCGCTTCTACATCGTCGGCTATAGAAGCTACAAGCGTCTTCATCGGGGGCTTGATAGCGTCTGTGGCCTGAAGGTCTTGGACTAACCACTCCGACAGCGTTGGCAAACCACTTTTGAACCACCCTCGCTCATAGATGATGGAATTTTGGATCGACTCGCGGAAGCTGTCGAGCGCTTTCGTGCCAACTTGGAGGTTGATGGGAGCGCTTGCGGCGTGGGTATCTGATTTGACTTCGTCCGACGGAGCGGGGAGGTCGACGGCCATCTTCACCATATCATCCATCTCGTCCAGACCATCCGCCGAGAATCTGCCAAATGCTATGGCGCTGTCCAGACCTTCTCCTAATACTAGAGTCTTGTGTACCGGGTATGGGACGGGCAATCCTCGTGCGGAAGTGGCCTGGAGCTTGGGAACCAGCAACGATTCGGTGGAGCTCTCTGTTACCATATGGGGTAGGGACTTTGCGACATTGACGTTGATGGTAGAGATGAGGACCTCTAGGTTGTGCGATTGAAGGGTTCGTGAGGGTATGGAGAGGACCTTGTAGAGGGGCGAAGGCGCATGTGCATCGGCATCGTCGCCGTATCTGCACAACAATCGTGTTAGCTGATGCGCTATCCAGTATGGCAGATCAAGCACATACTTTAGCAATACCGCTCTCTCGCTGTTGTCGCCTGATTTCACCAGTTCCTTCTCCCACTGCTCCTCAGCACTGAGTGGATCTGCGAGTAGTAGCCGTGCAAGCTGCTGCGCACTCAATTGGCTGTTCAAACCGAGAACTGTCCATCGTCAGCCCCTCGTCGTCAAATTCAACTGCGCGTTCCGTACCAGCGACTCTTGTCACAGCATCCTGCGCCGCCAGACCCCGCAATGCCAATTGCAATCTGCTTATATTGACGTAGGTCTCGGCGGCTCCACTAAGCGCTGACAGTGCATCGTACAACTCCTTGTTCCGAGGTGGGATGTGCGGGCGCAGATTTATCGCGGTCGGGGAGACATGCGTCGATGCGGAGCGCACGCGGAGGCTGGTGGTCGGGCGTGAAGTGAGGACATTGCGACAGCGACGCGCAAGCGGGAGTCGATCAGTCGGTCCTGTCTTGCGAAAGATCGTCAGTCGCGGCACTGAGGCCACCCATGGAGGCATCGGGCTTGAAGTTGAGCATTGCTGTTGAAATGTCCTTGTTGACGTAGGTCGGCAAAGCTAGCTTCGGCCCGGGCCCGTGCGCAGTCTCATACACCTTCACACTGAGCAGTGGCTATACACTAGTGTCATAGGAATTTGATTTTATGTGATTCAATGAGAGGTCGACGCCCTTAAACTTGAGCAGTCGACCGACAAATTACTACCGTGCTTCGTAAGGTGATGTCCTCTAGGTTACGCTGGCCCGAATACGCCTACGTGGTATACTGATGACATTTGGTGGCCCGCCAATACAGAAATCAAGAACCTAAACATCCTGCAATGTCATAGCTCGTCTATCGGCTTCGCTCTCGGATCGCGAGCGCTTGAATCGCGCCTAGCTTCTCCGGCTGCGTCCAGAGCCAGATGACCTATGCGAATTAGTTACTGCACGACAAGCTACGTAGGATCGATGCTTACATGCTAATGCGTCTTGCGACAGTCGCGAGACCTTGGTCGTTGTCGGCTTCCTTGGTGGCCTTCTCGAGAGCCTGCTCTCGGCTAACCTCCTGAGATTTTCGCACCTCTTCGTGGCTCGGCGGGAGCCTCTCGTTCTGCAAATCAACCTTGCGTGCGTCCTCGAAGCTGTGGATCGCCTGCTTGATTCCCTCCGCACCGAGCATGAGCGTACCCGCGGGAAGTCGACCACCCGATGCAGTCTTGAGCTCAGTGACACGCTCAGACTCCTCGCGCAGCACTTGGAACACACGAGAGAGGCGACCAATCGCCAGAATCTTGTTTTTGATCGCACGTCGCTTGAACTCGGTCGAATCTGGGTCGAGGCTGGAGAGGGGTGGCGATGATGGACCGGAAGCCAGAGAGCTGGGCGTCTCCTCTTCGAGCTCCTCCTTCGAACAGGTGTTTAGGATCGCAATGAGCATGTCAGTAACTACGACTTGTTAGTATGATATCGCAGTATGAACTGGCACTTCTGCTCACTCTTTTCGCCAACAAATGGCAATGACCATGTGAAGACGTCCATAAAGTTAGGCAGCCAGTACGGATGCGGTGTGCAGTTGAACTGTCGGATGTTCATGACGTTGTTCTCGTACTTCAGAACCGCAGCCTTGTTGTTGTATACGTCGAGGTAGTTCGGCGCGCTGAAGATTGTCATGACACTGGGGAAACCAGTCGTCCGTGTTTTCCTGTACATTCGGTATCCAGCATCTTGCGCCTCGTGTGCGCGGATGATTGACAGAAGGTTGTTCTTCTCGAGGAAAGCGCACGCAGCGGGGTACGAAAAGAAGTATGAGCATCCGCGGACGTGGTTGTGAACGAAGAAGTCGTTGGTCTTCTCCTGGCCGAATTCTTCGAGAGGATCAGCCCAGAGAATATCGCACATGAGGCCGTGGGTAGGTGGCTCGCGGAAACGGTCAATCTAATAAGGTTAGCGATGGCGTTGGATGAGGCATGGTTCCACGTACGCTCTTCAAGTCGTCCAGAGTGTGGAGCTCGGGACTCAATCCACCGTGTATACACAAGAACTGCTTGTTCATAACAGCCGCTAAGGGGAGTGCGCAGAACGAGTCCATGCAGGCCTCGTACACGGCCTCGGAGTACTTGTGCTTGCATTCGAGCTTGAATGTGAAGTAGTCGGTCAAATGGCGGCACTCGTGGTTTCCTCGTAGAAGCCAGAGGGTGTTGGGGTACCAGATCTTGAGCGACCAGAGGTACAAAACGCACTGCGAAGGTCAGCCAATGCATAGCGGCTGCTTTTCTGACTTCTTACCTCTATACTGAAATAGCCGCGATCGACGTAGTCTCCCAGGAAGAGGTAGCGCGTCTCTGCTGGGTCGCCACCGACTTCGAACAGCTTCATGAGATCGTAGTATTGCCCGTGAACATCACCGCACACGGTAATGGGTGCGTCCATCTCCAGCATGTTGGGTTCCGACTTGAGGATCTCTGTGCCCTTCTTTATGATCCATAGCGCCTGCTGTTCGGTCAAGCGACCTTCGCGGTAGAAGTGCTGCTTCAGAAATTGAATGTTGGGCTTTGTGCGATCTTGCGGGGAGAAGAATTGCTCGTCGGTGGGCGGGTGGAAGGCGGGTGCTTGTACGTCTGGCGAACACGGCACAGTTAGCTGACTGTGTGCCTCTAAAACGGCGCAAAGGCGAACAAGCTGGCGGATTGCCATGCCACGACGTATAGAATGAGCATACCTTTGCACACACGTTCCTGGGTGCTCACTTGGTTTCCATCCTCCATAGTATGCAGGGTGAAGTCAATCTCGGGGAGCGGCTTCTTCTCACGGACGGCGCGAATAGCATTGTCAATGTACTTGGACTGGTCGACGTCCTGCGGTTGGTTCTCCATGGTGGGCGGTCTGAACAGTAAGGCGTAGGGAGCGAGCACAAGAAGACGGTGGAGGTGAAGGCAGCGAAGTAGTGGGGCGAGCGCAATGACCGCCTAAGCTTGAGTGGCGGCGGCGTGCGAAACGAAGGCCTCGGCGCGGTTAGAATTCTGGGGCCTGACAGCACGAAATAATAGAAGTCGACTGGCCGTAGGGGGATTTGTCGTTTGGCTCGTCGCGTGCTCGGGTGTGCGCTGGCGACAGGAGCTTAGGGCTGAAAGTGGGAATCAGAGGGGAAGTTGGTCCCCTTGGCTGTTCCCTGAGAGGCTGCCCAATCAGGAGCCGGCCATCCCATGAACGTCATAAACCGGTGAATAGCCTCGTGGTTTTGCTTGGCTACGCTACGTTTGTAGTTATCGCCAGAGTTGTATAGAGTCATGGAAATATCATAATTAAGAAGTGCAGACAATGCGCAATTGCATGGCTTACCCATGCTGTCTTCAGTGGTAGATTGACGACAACCTGGGGAAAAACTAAACAGGTCTGCGGTACATCAATATGAACAAATGTAAAGTAGCTGACCTAACGTCGATGTAGGCTCTAGAACCATTCAGGTTCTTTCTCGTATGAGGTAGTTTTACAATTAGAAGGAACGGAAAGTGGGAGCAAGGAAGCAAGCGTCACGACATTCATACATGTGAGCAAGATAGTATAGAACAAGCAAGTGTTTTGTATGATTTTGTACAGTAGGTACATGGTATGTTGCGCTCGTAGACACGAGGCTGATCACAGCGATTCTCTCCAAGGGGATAACAGGGCATGCCGGCTCAATCTAGAGCCGATCATGAATGAATGTAACAACAGTAAAGCGCAAAAACAGTCACGAGCCAGAACCAAATGGCATCCGCGCATCATGAAGAGGTATATGAACAAGAGACCCAAAACCCAACCCATCCTGTATGACGACCCAATCCGAGGGTGTCCCGATCCGTTTCCCAAACTCCGTGTATTGCATTTCGTAGCCGACGGCTGTTGAGGATGTGTAAAAGCGTATGCAACTCTCTTAGATAAGGAGAGATGAGCCGTGGCGACGGTGGAGATGGGCGCGAGGGAACTTGAGAGATCGCTTGGTGGAAGCAACGACAGCACCACCAGAGCAAGACATGCCGTTGGCAAGCGGCTGGGCAACAGCACATCCGCGGTTGCAAAGACCGAACATGTTGGCACCGATGCATACAACAGCGCCATCGTTGTCACAGGGGGTGCAGTCACTGCCGCTGGAGGGTGCGCTGGGAGTGCTGTTGTCGGGCACCTGAGAAGGCGCGCTGTAGGCTGGCTGTTCGGGTGCACTGCTAGGCTGCTCGGCAACATAAGTAGAAGTAGGTGCAGCAGGAGCAGTGGGCTCGGCAGGAGTAGGCTCGGCAGCGGGAGCGGAAGAAGCACCAGGGGCAAAGACACCACCGCCGTTGGATGGAAGAGCAGCGTAACCAGAAGTAGCAGCAGGGGTCTCGCTTGATGCGGGCTGCGAAGCCTCGGGCTGAGTTGGCGTTCCCATCTGTCCGTTACCAGCACCCATCTTGGTCATAGTCGAGCATCCGGAGCCGCTGACGGAGTCGCCGAGAGTAGCACCAGTTCCCTCAATGACGTTCTGGCCAGGATCGGGGTAGTTGAAGTCCTGACCTTCCGAGGTTGTGCACTCGGTAGCAGGGAGGTTGGCAACGAACATATCAGGAAGAGACGACAGGGCTTGGGCCGCACTGCCGGTCGAGGCTTTGGCTGATGCGCCACCACCAACTTGAAGAGGAGCGCAGTTCATGTAGAACTCGCGGTTGCCGACCTTGTTCAACCAGGTCCAGGCGAAGGTGTACTTGCCTTCAGGAATGTTGTCAGGCATGGTGACGGGAAAAGTGGCTGCGCCGTGGCCGTTGGGGTCTTCCTTAAGGTTGCCAGTGACATTCGAAGGGCAGCCGCCGATAGCGCTTGTAATGACCTTCCACTGACTGGCCTCGGTTGGCTCCATATCAGTTGTAATGGAAAATTGGCATGAACCTCCTCCATGGACAGCGGAGCCCTTGAAGGAGACATCCTTGGTCTCACCAGCATTCCACTGGTTCATCTCGGTGACATCGTAAACGCCGGCACGTTGCTTGCAGGGAAAGTCTCCGGGCTCGAGGGGAGAGCTGGTGAGGGTGTCTTTGCCGTAGGGTACCGGGTACTCGATGGTCATATGTGCGGAGGCACTGGCGGCAAGAGCCACAAGAAGGGTGGTCGAGAAGAACATGTTGATGTTTGAAAGAGTGATATGAGAAGTAGATATTCTCGATTGGATATCGCTAGACCTGCTGAGCGATGAAATGAATGTGATGGCTGTGGTGGTTTGAAGGCCGAAGAGCAAGTAGTACTTGATATAGGCGGGAGAAGTGTTGTTGAGTCTAGCTCTTCGTTGACGCACAGCAATGGTAAAGAATGTGATCTGCCACAGGCAAGATGTGCAAAAGCAAAAGAAACAGAGAGGAGTTTGGTACTGCTGTGAATAGCCTGAGATGAGAAGGAAAAGCAGACGAAACACAGATCAGTTATATACGGAGGCTCATGTCTACCCACATGGCTAGCCTGTGGCGGTCGGGACGGGCTCGTACAGCAGTGCAAGGACTCAGGAGCCTATGCCCGGCGGATCATCGTGAAGAAGCATAGGCTATTCGACGGAGCAAGGCTTCTCTTGCAACGGTTGACGGGCTTCTTTCGGCTGGCGTCCCCCTCCCGGCTTAGCGGCAGGGGGACGAGCGCAGGATAAGTGGTGTAACATCAAAGTCCTGAGCTCTCGGCAGGCACGATACCGATACCATTGGCCATGTGGTCATGACAAGAGCATTGTCCTTGAAACAAAAAAGCGGAGAGCGACTCAGAGGGGAAGGCATTGGTGCGAGGCTATGGCCAGGGGGCCAACGTCAGGTTTGAAGTTTGTGCCGACGGTCTGTGTACTATGCAGGGGAATGCCGAATCCTAGCCTATCGATAACTCCATAGTGGGAAGAGCTAGCCATGGTGTGGAGTGGCGATCGCCTGCTAAAGCTGAAACGATCAGCATCCTTCGCGAAAGCCGCTGCGGAGCCTCCCATTGGCAGACGTGCTCATCTCGACGCACACCGGGCGTGCGCCATGGCTTGTCCAACAACAAACCAGGGTTGTACAATCGCGACTTTTTGCAGGTAACGCAGAGGTTACTTACCGCCGTGTTTGCGACACGGGCGCCAGACTGAAGTTCTGGAGTCTTAACAGCAGCGGACCGGCCAGAATGACAAAGAGGTCTTTGATTGCAGGCCTTGTGGGCGACCGGCCGCGTCGATGTCATCGAACTTCATGCGTCGCACCCTGGGTATCCCTCATGCGCAAGGTCTTTTACTGGGCCTCCACCTTTTAGCCGTCACTTCTGTTACTCTCGACAGTATTAGACCCTGATTATTAACAGCCCTCGGTCTATGCATGGTTCCTGGCGGCGAACGCTGCTAATCTGGGAGATCGACCCAATGCAACTGTCGTGGCCTCGTGTTCAGCTGGCTGCGCCACAACGTGGGCGAGTTGCTCTCGGAGTCGGAGCGTCGGTGTCGACGAAGGTCGCAGGTAGGGCGGATCCGGGCATAAGGTGAGTGTGGCTGCGGCGTCTGGTCTCGTGCAGGTGACGACACGGCGGTACCTAGCGACCCGTAGGCCTCGCTACCAGCCTGTCGTCGACATCAGCTCGTGATGGGAAAGCGTCGTTGCCTTCAGGCCTTCCCCGCTCCAACGACTGATTGGCTGTCTACCAACCGCAGCTTGTTTCATCGAATCACTTACCCGCACACGATAGAAGGGCGGCGAGGAGCCAACACCGCTGGGCCTCCCTTTCCTCCTGAAAGCTGATCAGTGGGGATCGAAAAAGGCTAGCGAGGCCTTGTTTCGGATGCGCCGTCGACTCTTAACATTGGGCCGTCTACCACCAGCTGCAAGTTAGTGACGCCAACAGCGCGAGACCAAACAATAGCGACCCCCGTTTGTGATTACGTCTACTTGATTTGTTGTTGCTGCTGCCCAACGACAGTGAAACAGCGCGGTTGGTGCAGGGAATCGAAGACCATTCGAATCTGTCAAGTAGAGGCAACACTCGTGGGTGAGACATGCAGACGCGCACGACGACAGTCATTACTTCCATCTTGATGTTCCGACTTGGGAGGGGGAACATTTCAGGCAAGCAGCAAGAGCGACTGGGCCTCACCAATGCCCACGAGCATGTGACATATGAGCCACTACCCTCTACACGAAACACCCACCAAAACATTTTCAACTTCCGTTCTTGTCTTTTCCCACAGCAACCCGCCTCTTGGTGGGCCCCGACTACGTATTCTGTGCACATAGATTTTCGGCAAACACAGCAGCCCGGTACTCAGGTTGGCTTCCCCGAACGCACGAACATCACTACGCGTCACCATCACTTCTACACCCAATCGAGCTCAAATCTCCGTTTGACGGCTCATGCTCCCTGAGAAAGATATACAGATCATTAACAGAGTGATCAGACTGTGGGGTGCCGCACATGCCAAGTCGATGGCTGGTCGTCATTTCCTGACTTGGCCACTAATATAGTAGCAGAATGACATTGTGTGAGAGCGCTTCTACTCAACGATATTCACGTGTGCTCCATTGACTGACTATAGCTGCAAGCAACTCAGTGTAGCATTGTCTAGGTCGCGCCCAGAGGCTTCTCTGGCTCGCTCACTAGAGCTGATACTGAGCCCGCATCCTAACCTCGTCTGAACAGAGTAATTTCAAAAGCACGGTGCACACATCTGGCAATAGCCTAGAGGCGGCCTGTACAACACCCGCACGCGGTGGACTAGGTTTGTAGCGTCGAACGGCAAGTAAACAGCTGCGGCACGCATTCTGTCGTTTCGTCAATACGGCAGCGAACTATCAATCTCGTGCAGATATAACGGATGGTAGCGGAGCAGGATCTACACATTCATCATCCACGAGGTAATTCTGGCTGAAGATCTCGCCTACAGCTTCTATACTCCGCTTACGGAGTTCCTTCGATCTGCTACGTTCTTTCCGTCCTTTGGTTGCTTTTCCAACATTGTAATCATAGAGTTTGCGGTTCGGACATGGCGAGCTACCGCTCTTGCCGAAATTTGGGACACTAGTTATAATTACTATAGGTCCAATCATAGGGCCCCAGTTCAATGCCCTCGGCACCAACGGGAAAGTGTACGTCGAGTAGTTTCTTCAAAGATTGTGGAAGAGGAACCGGTCCTGTTGTCAAGCTAGAGCTTGATCAGGCCGACTTGTACATGACCGTTGTAGCCGGATAGACACAAGGTCCTAGCTTGTGATACCTCAACACCTAGGTTTGGTCCGCGCAGGCGGTTACGTGATATTGGTGCCTCAGCAGCCTCAATGCTCATTCTACTACTGACCATCCACATCACTGAAATACGCTCTTAGCTCGATGCAACAGCATTATAGTATCGGACGCGTCGAAATATGGTGCGTTGATGTAATTTCTACTGTTTGTCCCAGAGATTGCTTATTCGTTAGGATCCTCCCAACGAGCCCTTCCGGAAGGAATGGACCTTCCGTTCCAGCCAGGTAGTTTTCGACCTGACTCGCACAAACGGTACTTTGTCAATCCCGATGTGCACTCTTCCATCTCCCCCGATGTAACTACCATATCCATAGCGTGACCCCAGCCTATCGAGATGACGAGCACGTACCTTTCTATTCAAATGTGAAGTCTCTTTCATGTCTTGCACCGCCGCACTGGCGGCAAACAAGCTGATAATTGACGCGATGGACGTAGGCATCCGCGCAAGATACTGTCCAGGTCGGCGCAGATACACCATGACTGCAACAATGATGTAGATGCCAAGAATAGCCTCGGAAATGATGAACATAGGAGTGGACACGAAGAGCCTTTGCTCCTTGACCACTGTCCAACCTTGGACTTGCGCTTCGTTCGCCTTGCTGCGTGGCACCAGTAACTTCTCCTTATTGGTTCCAAGCCAAATTGCAAAAAGTCGTGAGAAGGCCTTGCCAAGAGGAACTTGGATATCTTCTAGTGTAGGAACCGGTTGGTTCGGATCGCTGAGGCGTGTGCTGTTTGATTCGCGCCGAGCGAAGTAGTTCATCGGATCTTCCGCGTTGCTGTCGTTGTGCCAACCACTTTCGGAGTATTTGAATATGTACCGGTTCGCTTGTCCAATCACGTCGACGGCGCCGTTCGTGAATGCTTTTTCCGAGGCATTGCCCTCGATGTTCAGATCCGCAACTTTTTCTTGCAGTCGCCCAGTTGCATCGACTTGCACTGTGGCTCTTCCTGTAATAATCTTTGGCTTGCAACGAACAAACACCGAGTTGCTTTTGTCCAGATCTCTTTCCGCAAAATCGCCACAGGATCCATCAGGTGCTCTGATCCATCCCATGATGATCGTTGTCATGCAAGCATCCCTCTCTCCTTGAGTAGCGTTTGCATCCGCGTCGGCAACGAACACTAACTCTGTGGCACTTGGACCACGTTGACAAGTACCGTTGATTTCTGGTCGTGGCCCTGGCCTACTCGGGCCCCACAGAATTGTTGGTGCTACCCTGACCGGACATACTGTTTCTTCAGAGTCCGCAGGATCTGTGATGTTGAAGACAGCCTGAATGTTTGAACCATCGCTGACTAGCCTGGCGCGATAGTGTACGCCGAAGTCAAGAGTCTCGCAGTTGAGCTCGGCACCAAAACCCGAGGTTTCAGCCCGGTAGTCGCGCCCGTCCGTCGCATTCACATCTGCCGCACTGAAATAAGGTAGGTAAAGCATTTTCTCGTCGGTCCATGCAGGGAGAGGAGTTCCTCGCGTAAAGTTGGATTCAGCAATAAGGAACTGATCCTGAGTGCTGCCGCCACGGTATGCGCCTGAAGCTTCGAGAGAGCCGAACTCATCGCCACTTTTGGGCCCGATGCTTCCGTTCACCGAGACGAACTTCAACTCGAATGGAGAACTAAAACCCGCAGGGTACCGTATGCTGACCGAGTCCTGGTTGAAGATGCCTGCGAATGCAACAGCTAAAAGATTGGCAAGTAAAACCATGGAACAGACTGCCGCTAGAACAAAATGCTTCGACCTCAGCGCCTTGAAAATTACAAGTTGCGGAGGCAATGAGCTGTAGTTGAGATCAATAGACCTTTTGGCAGGTGCATCGCAGTCCTGAAGCTCCTCTATAGGTTGCAACATGCACAGTAGGCGATTGATTAGAATCCACATTGGTTCTATAAGCGTAGCAAATGCCGTTGGGATGTAGTTCTCTAGGAGGTTCTGGACAAGCTTGTCCTTTGAAGGCAGAGGAAGACCGTTCAGCTTTGCCTTGGCGAAGATTACCGCAAGAGCAATAGCAAGTCCAGTGAATAGTCCTACGAAGGGGATAGAAGTCCAAAGACTGAACTCGACGGGTCGGACAGGCTTTGCGATATTTCGAGGGGTGTTCCGCCGTTGGGCGGTAGTGACTGGTTGCTGAGCTATCAGGACGGAATCTGTGATAGGACCAACTTCGATAATAGTATGTTGTTGACCATCATCATCAAGCCGGTATCTCTTATTTCCGAGCTGTTCTTGAACCTCTTCTGTAGTGCAGCAGTCAAGATCCTCAAAATCTGCAAGCAGCGCCTCATTGTCGGCGACAAGACTCATTATGCTCGCGATTGTGCTCGGATTGGAGTGAAGATTCCTGGCCCTCGTCATCGATAGGTATAGTAGTACCAGCGTTGCAATTGAAACGGCGCCCAGAAGGCCTTCGGCGATGTAGGTGAAGACAGGCTCAACAATGACTGCTTGTGTTGAGTACTGCTTGTGACCCATGATGGCTTCGGAGGTCTTGAAATCGTTGCCGAGTACGTCTACCATTGCGCGAGAGAAGAGCAGCCTGTATGCATCCGCATAAGACTTACTCAGAACTCGCCAGTCAAGGTAATCCTCAAGCGGACGATCGCTGACTGCAAGGGACAATCCGACCATAGGCTGAACAAAGCCGCCGCCTGTGGGACCAGTCACTACACTAAGATTGGTTGCCGCAACGCGCTCCAGGTAACTTGGTAGTGAGTTCAGCGGTAGATTGTCACCTCGGACTTCGTATCCAGAACCCCCATTCATTTGTATTTCTAGATATGTTGCGTTGAAGAAATTTGCCGGAAGTGGTTCTTTGTCGCCTAGTGGTGTGACGGTAATCGGTGCTTTGCTGGTCATATCAACCGTCGCGTTCACGCGCTGTTGATAGAAAGTTGGCTCGCAGAAAATGGCTGTAACGTTGTTCGGTGGGTCTGTCTCTTTTTGCTGGATGTCGGTGTTAGCGAGGATGTCCAGCGGCATGAGACTGCTCTGTGTTGTAAAAACGTACCTTTGTTTGACTGAACGCGGCATAAAAAGTCGAGTTGCGTTCTGGTGGGCAATAACCATCCAAGGAGTAGTCTGCAAACCCGCCGTCGTAGTACCCGATGTACATAGCCATATAGTCCTTCAATTCAAGAAGGGGGGCGTGTATTTTCTTGTTCTTGATATAACCTTTGGTTACATTTCCTGAGAGTCCTGTTGTCACATTGCAACCGCCATTGCTCCTGTAGAGAACAGAATCGGGGATCGTGTATGGAGCGTCTCGAATAGGCTGTGATACCTCGCAATAAAGATCGACGCTGTACATGGTGGTGATCGCGGTCCAGGTACCCTGAATTGCGAGTTCGTCCTGCACTATCGATATCGAAGGTCTAAAAGGTGCAAGAGTAAAATTTCGTGCCATATACGGTGGTAAAGTCTCGTTCAGGGTAGCGATTCCATAGGTGGATTGTGAGTAACGGAGCGTTAAGTTGGTTGTTTGCTGATCAGCCGGCATGGAGGAAGTTGAAACCGCAAATGGTGCCTCGGATGAGCGCAAAATTGTTTCCACAGAAAAGATACCTGCTTGTACAGGGACTAAGCCCCATGTTACTAGAAGGATAGCGAAAGAGGCCCAGAACACAGGCCAATGTCTATCAAAGTTAGCTGCGCACAGAATCTAACCCGGTCAGGTTTCAGTGATCCTGCTTACCCATCTTTGGCTGCTTTGAATGGGACGAGCGGCAAGAAGTCGAATGGGTATTGTAACAGTAACGAGTCCTTCCCTAATGCTCCGGTATCTTTACTCAGTTGATAGTAAGGCTCCATTCGTTTTGTCTCCAGGTCTATCCACGCCCAGTAGGTACTGAAAATGACAGCAACGACTGTGGGAAAGTACAAGTACATGAAGGCATGACCCAAAGGAAGGTCATTGATCCGAGGCGCGAATATGACACCACCATTCTGTTGGCTTTGGTGAAGGAAAAACTGTAGTATCGCGATTAGAGACCAGCATATCGCCGTAGTCAAAATCAGAACTGGTGCGCGCAGCGCTAGTGGTTTCCAAGTTTTGGTAGCTAGCACATGTCAACAATTGATGTACTACGAAGTGATAATGTTGTAACATACTTTGATGCTCTGCATCACGCGCAAAGATCGAGACGATAGTGTTTGATTTCTTAGGACCAACAGTATCCGGGAAGCTTGATCGCGCCACAGGCGCTAGGCTGGCATCCATCGCGAAGAAAAGAATACGCGACGAGCAAACGGAAAAGAAGCGCGACGCGAGAAATGCAAAGCAACGGAAGTAGATTTAGGCATTCTACACGCTGAGAGGATAGATACTTAACAGCATTATCGTGGAGCATAAGCGCCCCCAAAACTCAAGGCGCGAGACTGCGCCGCAAAGATGGCTACCATCCAATCATTTAGCGACCGCAGGCCCGATTAGGGCAAGAACCACAACCTCGGAACGCGACGATTGCGGGCCGGCGCTGGAACATCCAATGCGATATCCGAGATGTGCGGTAAGTGGATTCAGACTTTCCTGTAAAAGTGAAAACGCAGGTACGGATAGCTATACTTGGGACACGTCGCGGAGATCTACCGGTGTCGCGATCTTGGCTTCGCGACTAGCAATATTGAGACACCTGACCATTATGCAGCAGGAGCACAGGGTCATCACGTTCTGGAGGCTTTTCTGATGATCTACCGATAGGCGTTTGTGTGTTGTCAACCAGGATAATCCTCAGCGGAAAGCCCCAACTTCTCGCCTCCTGCAAAATTGTGAGCGGTGAAAAGCGACCGCAAGTAGTACTTACCACCATGTGCGGAAGTTAACAGTCGATACATCGATACCCAGGTCCCGTATCGCGCTAGTGTCCAGATGGCAGTCGTAAGGCCTGATGGTGCCATCCTTTGGTTCTTCGTCAGGTTTGAAAGGGTCCATATTGTCGAGGGGCAACCCCATGATATCGGAGAATGTTTGGCAGATCTGCCATTTAGTCATGCGGTCTTCCGAACTGAAATGAAGAACTTTGGGTAGCTCGCGCTTCCTATAACAGGCCGTCAGCACCGTATGAGAGAAGCATCTCATCGATCAGAGACGCGGATTTGGCTTACGCGTTCGCGGGATCAAGATACAGCTTCGCTATGTCGCGGCATACTCGGCCAACGTCTTGAGTGTTGGTAGGGTATCGAAGCGCATAGTCGTCGACTTGGATTTTGGGTTGACCATGCTCTATCTGTTGGGCGTTCCACAATTGCGACATGAGGACATTGACTGCACTGTCTTTGGGCTCATCGCAGGATCCGTAGAGGACCGGTACCCGAAGAGCGACGACTTTGTTCTTTGCGCCAGTCTTAGCAGCAACCTCGAGAACAGCCTGTTCGCCTTCTAGCTTGGTTTGGCCATACCTGATGGAGGTTGTCAGCCGTGATTAGGCACCCCACCCAGCATTATCGTGAGATGGCATTGTTTCTGGAGCAGGCTCGGGAGACATGAACGAACGACCCAAGATCCGCTACGACTATGGTGTAATAAACCAGGACTTACGTATTAGGTGGGCTCGGCGTCGAATCTGTCCTGTAGGGAGCTTCTCCAGGTCTTCCTGCAAAGACGTAGTCTGTTGAGATGTATATGAGGAAGATTCCCCGAGAGATGGTGGCTTCAGTCAGTGCTCGACTCGCGTCTACGTTCAACTTCCTGGCTGCTTCTGGGTCTTTGGTGCAGGAGTCAGGGAAGCGGTTGGCAGCACAGTGGACGACAACTTTCGGGTTGACTTCATCAAGCACCCTGGAGATCTCATTCTGATCCAAAATGTCCAGCTTCACCACACCTGGAGCAGTGATGCGATGCAGACCAGTGCCGATAGACTTCCAGCCATCTACCAAGAACTCTCGCTGCACTTGACGGCCGAGCAGACCACTAGCTTCGCTCTGCGGTCAGCTAGCAGTAACACATTCGTGGAGGCTATTTACCACCGGTGATCAATGCTGTCTGTGCCATACTGATACCACGCGCAATCAATGAGTTCTTGAGAAGTTTAGTTGCGGTGATGACGACAGCGTCCACGCGCAATCAATGAGTTCTTGAGAAGTTTAGTTGCGGTGATGACGACAGCGTGGTGCATCTGTGGCAGCTGCCGTGGGGCACCCCCGGGTCCGCGCATCATCACGTGTAGCGAGACCCTGAATCCCTGCAAGCTCGCCGCGACTGCTCGATTGTCGCGACGCAACAAGCAACCCACCGCTTACACGACCCATTCGCGCCCACCATGTCCACCATAGTCAAGGAAGCTTCCCAGAGCTCGTACCCGTACGTCTGACAAGCCGTGTTGATTGCATTAGCTAATTAGAGCAGCCCCGTCATTCCTAAAGACTTCAATGGCAACCAGCCAAAGACTATCCGCTTGTTCCCTCTAAGCAACTACACATTTGGCACCAAGGATGGCCAGCCCGAAGAGGATCCGTCTGTCCTTGCCCGGCTCAAGCGGTTAGAAGAGCACTACTCGGAGCATGGCATGCGACGGACTTGCGAAGGCATCCTGGTCTGCCATGAGCACAACCACCCGCACATCCTCATGTTGCAGATCGCAAACGCCTTCTTCAAGCTGTACGCATTCGCATGCTCTGTCTTATATCATCACTGACGTCACACAGACCTGGCGATTACCTCCGCGCCGAAGACGACGAGATTGAGGGCTTCAAGGCGAGGCTGAACGAGCGCCTCGCACCAGTGGGCACACAGTTCACAGGCGAAGGCGTAAACGACGAGTGGGTAGTTGGCGATACGCTGGCGCAGTGGTGGCGGCCCAACTTCGAGACCTTCATGTACCCTTTCATCCCTGCGCATGTCACCAGGCCAAAGGAATGCAAGAAGCTGTACTTCATCCAGCTTCCCCGTAGCAGTAAGTCGACTCGAGTCGCCTGTTTTCCACAATACGTACAGTTACTAATACTTCGCAGAGGTTCTCAGCGTCCCGAAGAACATGAAACTCCTCGCCGTTCCGTTGTTCGAGCTCTACGATAATACCGCGCGCTACGGACCACAACTTTCGGCGATCCCTCATCTGCTCTCCCGCTACAACTTTGAATTCGTTGACGAGGATGGCAATGTCGCAGCGTGCACACCTGGTGTAGGCCCACCAGACGGATACCGGCCTCAGACCAAGGTCCTGGCAGGCGGCGATGGGGACGATACTACGATGGAGCAGAATGGGGAAGGTAGCGATATCACTCTTTCGTAGAGCGCTTCCGTCATCATTCCGCTCTCTGAGTTTTATCTTGCTAATTCATACCCGGTGTCAGGCGTTACGACAGCGTAGGCATCATGACTTTGGTGGTTTGCCTACGATGCCCACCTTTGGACGGGGATGCTCGACACTTCTTTTGTCCCAGTCTGGTACATAAAATGAGAAGCGGTGCATCACGTTGAGATCCGACTATACCGTACGCGCTTTCGGTTGCCACGGAACTGTAAACGTGGCGCCGCAATAGTGCATAGCTAGGAGCATGGCGTATGTGATGAGGCTTATATCTCGGGGTCGCATTCCATCACTAAATCACGCCATGCAACCATAAGCGGTCTTTTGGCCCCTGAGAATGAATGTATATGATACAGCGAGTACGTTCCAGATGATGTTTTGTGCCAGGCCCATTGGTTCCGCGATACCCGGTACCGACGAACCACTCAAAGTCTGCCTATTCCAAACCACGTCCATACCAAAGGTTACCCTTATATTGGAGCACTCGCGAAAGCTATGCAATCTGGTACCTGATGCCCGAGCCAAGGTACGAACGAAATGAAAGGGTTGTCTCTCACGAGAGCCTCACACTTGCGCACCATACGATGAACCGTTGTCAACTACGGGAAGCACAATCTCTTATTGCTTGGGTCGACCAGATCCACGTTTTGAAGGTCACTGAATAACTCACCGGGATTTGCGAAGCCATACACACGATTGGCTGGTGATCCTCGTGACCTGAGGCCACTGGCAAATCGCCTTTGTCCTCCTATGAAATCCTGGTAATGCTAATTATGTCCATGTAGAGGCATGGTTCTGTAACAGTGTGATGGAGAATTTTCGTTAGTTTACCGACCGTCTAGAGATCTCTATTCGACTGGTCTTCATATAAAAACCTTCACATCCCTCCTCTCATATCCTTTTCCTCTCACCATATAACAGTAGCTTCCAGTCCCAACAAAAGTCAATCAAATCTGAGAAAGAACAACCCCACGCAAGTGTACGAACAGCTTCCCCCTTACCTATTATGACTAGCTAATACATCATAGTTTCAAAACGATACCACTCTCGTACTACCTGCCTAACCCTCTTGCCTGCCAATACTAACGGAGACTTTCAGACCCTCACCAAAGATGCGTCTCATCCTCTCTGTCGTCGCCGCCGTGGCCCTCTTGGCCACTGCCACGGTCGCTCACAGCGGCAAAGACAGGATCGTTTGGCACGAACGCCCGGTCAAGGAGCAGCATGGCTGCATAGTGACCTGCAAGAAGTCCTCCGATAAGCCATCGGAGTTCCTCAGGACACAGTGCGCCGTCTGCATGGACAGGATCCGGAACACCGTGTGCGCTGATTGCGCAGCAGCGTACCGGGATGGAGTCCCGTTCGACAAGTCTGTGGACCGCTGTTACCGATGCCGCCATGTATCGGACTATGACTCTTCCTCCGAGTTTGACGAGCCTTGGGACAAGGATGGCGGATTCTTTTGGCCCGGCCCCGAGGGCCCCGAGGACTGGAAGTTTCCACACTAGAGCAGTTTGAGATGCTTAGGAGGATTCATGAAGGGGATGGATGACTACCACGCGCAGTGGTTTGCGAACAGTGGATGAAGACTTTTCCACTGATGGGTATGTGTCACGGCTAGCACAGTACCGTAAAGCCAAATCAAGTTGTTTCGGTACAATAGTGAGCCTTATTGAGTGATTTACTTGTGGAGAAACAGAAGAACACCTGGAAGAAATCTGCTCCTCATCGCAACGACCACTTCTACAGCATCTTCCCAGAAGGGCACACCCCTCTTGATGCACTTGGGAGAGTAATGCGACCGCCGCTCTTACACCTTCGGGCACGAGACGCTGAGCGACGCGAACAACTCACTAGTGCACATCTTGTTATACGGCGTCATACTGCTGCCTCTGCAATTACTACCACTATGAATCGTAGTCGTGCAATGCCTAAAAAAATGAGACCACACGTCAGTTCACCTCCTTTGAAGCAGAATCTAAAAGACGTACCCAATATCAGACTCGTACCACGCGAAGATCGATCCAACATTCTGATACGGAATGCATCTGTCCTCGCCGGGAAGTACGTAGATGTTCCAAGCAGGACCGTTGTTTTGATCGCAGTTGAGGTTGCTGAAGATCCAAATCTTGGCAAGGTTTTTGGGCAGGTTGCCGGATAGTGCGTCGCGGCCTAGCTCGGCTGTTCCTGCATCCAGTGCAGGCAGTGCTTCTGTAAGCAGTGCGGGTGCTGGATTGGCCGTAAATGTGGCTGCCAGAGCGCCGAGGCTGAAGAGGAGGGGAGAGAAGTGCATGATGGCTCTCTTGCAATATGAGGACTCAAGTAACGACGTTCTGAGACCGCTTTGATAGGTGCTCCTGGCCAAAGTCGAGGCTACGTACTATATACGCGTAGCTTACCATGTCTCTAGTGCCAGCCCCAGCGGCCAAGGTCCTTCGAGACATGTGTGAGATGCTGGCAACGCTCATCGTGTGTATAGGGAACGTTTCAAGTCGATAGTCTTGCGATCGTGAAAGCCCTGCTGGTGCTGATCGATGTCATGACGCCTTTCTGCTTCCGCGCATCGTGAGCGCCACATCCTCCTACATTTCGTATAGCCCTATTCCACATGGAACGCGAACACTCTATCTAAAACTGATCGTAAACACATTTGGCCTCGCAGGCAATAGCTCTTGAGTGTGTATGTCTCACAGTGTCATTTCGTGGTCGTAGATGTCAGGTTCGCTAGCAGGTCTCGGAGTCCGAAGAACAGTGACAGTTAGCGGGGCTAGGGCGTCTAGTGACAACTAGGAAGTACGGTTTGCTGAGAGCGTACAATTGGTTCGGGTGTAATTGTATGCGGGTTGAGAAGCTGAGAAAAGCTGGCGTACACAGTTCGTGAGCGGTGTCAGGCAACTAACAGCCGGCATGGTGTCACCAAGATTAATAAGCTAGCCCAACTAGAATCCAAATTCCCATATTGACAGCACATGTGTCATCTGTAACGGGTGATACGTTCAGTACAATCTGGTTGCTTGCAGGATATTAGCCGAAAGATGCGATGAAGTTTAGATCCTTGGGGGAGGCTCAACTACCGGGATGTGCAAAGTCAGGCAAACTTGACGGGTAAATCACTCATCTATACGAAGAATTTTTAACATGAGGATGATATTTTGATTGCTCATCCTCTGTACTCATAGTATACATTATCTTGTAATATACATTATATACTAACTACGTAGGGAAATGAAAGACTTATGGGTTAGGCTAATGTGATGGTGACGTATGAAAGCGAGTGGTGCGTAAAGAGCGTTGCGACATCCAGTATGTGGGTCTACCCGTGCCACGGTAAACTCATGGGAGTACGATCTGTACAGTCCGGGCGATGCTAGGAACTCCCTCCTTCGACATGACAAAGACGTAGTAGGCACCTGGGATGAGAATGCCACTGTCGTCGGGTAGTGTAGCAGTGTAACTGCATCCATCACCCTTGACGTTGGTCAAAGGCACGCGGCGCTGATCGGTGTTGACAGAGTGTGTGACGCTGCCGATGCGGACCAAGGCGAACTTGAGGCCTGGTGTAGACGTCTCAACTTGGATGGTCAGTTTGCCTCCAACCTTGACGCTCTCCGCGCTCAAAGAGCTAATGACTGGTCGGGTTGCGGGGGTACCGTCGTTGTTGAAGAGATATGGTGGGGAAAAGATCTGGCCATCGGCATGGTCGACGAGTTTGTTGCAGTTGGCGGAGCTGCGGCCAACTCCCTGCGCGACGTAGCAGAGACCACCGCCACCGGAGAAAACGCGTCCATCGGCTAGCAGGATGCTGACTGAGTGATAGTTGCGGGGGACAGCTTGTGGTGCTAGAGTCTTCCAAGATTTGGTGGCTGGGTCGAACAATTCTGGGTAGAGAGCTCCATCCGTATCGGTGAAGACCAATGAGCGTTTCTGACCACCGCTTACGAGAACTTTTCCGTCAGGCAGAACGACCGCGTTGGAGAAACCGCGAGGGTATGCCATGTCCGCGACTCGCTCAACCTTGGCAGGGGTGTTCGGCTCGCCGATTGTAGTGATGTGGGCCCGAGCGTTGGCGTCTGCGTTGGTGTAGTCAGGCGCGCCGCCAGCACTCAAGATCTTGCCAGCAGTGGCATCGTACATGACGAAGATTCCACACATCGCATCATCAATGGGGTCACGAATACCAGCAGCGACTTGCGATCCAGTTCCCTTGGTACCGTACCAGTTCATGGCCTTGCTTGGACCGGCCTGGAAAACGGAGGCGTTCTTCCAACCAAACAACCATGCATGGTTGTCTTCACGCCAGATGCCTTCATGGTCGGTCGTGAGCATAGCCTTCATCTTCGCGTTTGGCAGTGCCGTCCAGGCGTTGGTGGCAGGGTCGTACACTTCGCCGTCTTTACCCTTGCGTGGACCAGAGTATGCACCTCCGATGGTGAAAACGCGGTTGTCGGATGTCGTCGTGGATGATTGGTAGCCGCGAGCCATTTTCCTAAGTATCATTAGTATGAAGTTCATATCATTGAGCTAGAAAAGACTAACATGTCGGGTGCACGAGTGAATCCGTTTGATGCTGGATCATAAAGACTGGCCGCGGAAGCGTCAGATCCTCCTTGGATCAGAAGCTTTCCGTCCTGAAGACTGCTCATTGCGGGACAGAACATGTCGTGATGAGTGTTGCTCACTGTACGAGCTGAAACAGCTCCACTGAGAGAATGTTAGCGTGCGTTGATGATACTGGACCACTATGACTTACGTGTTGAAGTTGTAGTCCGCAAATTGAGTGCGTCCACCAGCACCTCCGAAAGCATCAGCGCCCCAACTCGAGAATACGAGAAGACGTTCCGAGACAGGGTATTCCGGGACGACATATGCAGCAACCGGGATGACGGGCAGGCGGATAAGATCTGACCATTCACCATCCTTCGCAGGCGCAGGCGCTACATTGAGACGCATTACATCGAAGCGTTTGTCGGTTGACCAGATCAAAGTGTTACTGCGCGAGTCGGCTTTGATGTGGCAAGCCTTCTTGGCAGAGTCGTAGACAGCGGCGGTACATGTGGCCCAGTTGGCGCAAAGGTAGGCACAGGTATCAAATGTGTTCACGCCTTGCCATACCTTCTCGCTTGGTCCGCGGATGTCGGTGCCAGGGCAGATGCTGTATTGTTTCTAGGGGTGCAATGTTAATGTCCGCGTGTCTCAAGCTACTGGGGAGCAGACTTACTCTGTTTCTGTGATACGTCCATTCGCCAGCAGGGCAGCGAGCGATGTTCACTTGCTCTGCTTGGATGACCTGGAAGCGATCGTTGGCAACCCAGTTCAGGCCGGTAAGATCCTTGAAGTGGCAATCTTTGGTCTTGGTATCAAACACTGCCTTGAAGCAGTCCATACTCTTGTCGCAGAGTTTTGCACATGCTGTAACCGAAGCAACGCGTTTGATCGATGTCGTAGGTCCTGTAAGGTCGGTACCGGGGCAAACTCGATATCTGATGCCTTCCGCTCCAGTAAAGATATCGTCGTTGCCAGGGCAAGCATTAAGAGCGTTGGTGAACTGTAAAAGAGTGGCTGCCGAAAGCACGGCGAAAAGAGTGCGGACCTGCATCTTGGATGTGAAATCAGACAACTGGCCTGAGGCAGGAATCGGAGGACTGGCGTCAACTATCTATATACCCGTCCCAGCCACGATCCCATAACGGTGACCCGCATAGGAGTTTGCAAAAATGGATACCGTTGAAACGAACGAGGGGATTGTAGACCTAGCATCGAACAGGATAGCGTACTGCCAAGATGGGAACCGTTCGTGAGTAGCTACCCTGTATATGCTCACCTATATATCGTATTTTAGTATCTTCGATAGCGCTAATGGCACCAGATCCGGACCTAACAGGGGGTTCATGTCAACGGTAGCGGGCCGGGAGACCCAGGCAGGTTAGCGATGATGCCACTATCGGTATGCTCGGTGTTCCTGGAGTCATGCTGTTGACTGCGCCTCAAGCAAAAGATCGAATGGATCTCGGCTCCTGGGTCGTGATGTGGAGTGTCGCATTGTTGTAATGAGTTGTTATGCTGATGCGATGACCCCAGTTCCCACATTTTCATGGGGACATGTGCCTTTTCCTCTGACAAAGTGCGATACCTGACAGTATTTCATACATCCTGAACGGCCTGCTGAAGGATTGCGGCGGTGGTTCTACACGCGCCAGCTGGCAATTATCGATTCCTTGTCAGGCTGCTTGAAACGCCAAGGCCAACGCTCCACCCCACCCCTGTGCCCATCAGGGAGACGTTATCTACAAAAAAAGAACTTCATGTGAATAACCACCGTCAAAACTCCGCCCCTGTTCCCAGCGCATGGGAATTGCAGGAACAGGTCTATCGGAGGTATCGTGGCGGATCCACACGATTTAAAGCCGGCTTAATAATGTACTCTAAATTTCAGTAACGCAAACCATTGTAGCTGCGATGCATGACGTTGAAAGGTAAAAAGTGACGACTGCCGGCACAACGGCCGGAGTGCAGAAGGCGATTGGGGTATCCTGGTGCAAATGCGGCTAGGTCAGCCGAGACGATGGCGGCGCTTGGACTGGACTTTTGAGTCGGAACTCAAAGGGAGGCTCGGTGAATCTGTCGTGACAGCTGAGACACCCTGGTTCTCACTGCTCGAGTCAGTCTATTGATGCAAAGAGCAGCCCGTCTTGGCGATGGCTTCTATGGGCACGATCACGTGTTGTATGAGGTACTCATCGAACAAGAGGATCTATGCGTGAACACGGTAGGTTCACCAGCCTTGACCGGGCATTCCAGCCCAAGCCGGCATTGGCCAATCCCATGGATTGCCATTGTAGTTCATCGAAGCTTGTTCCATGGGGAAAGCTACACAGCCCAGATTCATGCCACTGCCACGGGTAACGCTCGATTGGGAGCCGAGACTGTCCAAACTAATGAGCTCGGAGGTTTGTGGATCATCAAGACCTGGCGTCTGGAATTGCGACTCTGCCGCTAGTTTGTCCCTTAGGGCCATCTTTTGTCTGATTTGCGTCACGATAGCTGGTGGATCCGATTGTTCGGACGTTATTGCTTCACGTGCCGACCAAGCTTGTAAAACAAGCCCCCCAAAGAGTGTGAAGAAAGGGTTGTTGGGTTTGGTCTCCACCGGGCTGTCCTTTTTCTCGAAGTCCATCAACCGAGCGGCGCAGTTCTCGCTCATTGCCTGCCACCATCGATTTGCGAGTTGGCCTAGTGGGCGTATTTTCAACTCTTGGGCGAGATGAATATACGCAGGGAACGGGAAGTGCATGTAGACAACCCAGCGGAAATTTGCTATGAGGGGTGAGGTCATGAGCAGCGTATCGCACTCAAGCATACGGTGCGCAAATCCAAGACCAACGTTGCGCTGCTCCTCACTTCCTTGCGCAAGTCCTTTCGAGTTGTTTGATAGGTATTGTGCAAATCCGATCTTTGCGAGTGACGCGCGCGCCATCCACATGGTTAGAAAGTGCAGCGGGTTTTGAGCATCGCAACGCGTAAGATACTTTTGCTCTATCGTTGACTCAAAAGCGGCAAGCTCGTCAAGCCCTGAATAGGAGGCGTCAAATGCCTTCTTGGAGAAGGACTTCAGGGCCGGATTGATGAAGTCCAAATGAGATGGGCTTTGACGAATGAACTCGCCAATCTGGCTACGGATGACTGGAAATAAGGCTTCGGAAACGACCTCAGACTCAACAGGAGGGGTCTTGGTCTCGACTCGTAAGTTGAAATCGTTGACGTTGAGCGGGGCTTTGCAATCCCATGTCGGGATTAATGTAGTGGACTTGCTCTCGGTCATTTCAGACATTCTGTTGTCAAAAAGTGAGAGAGACCACCATAGTCTTCTGCGCAATTCGGCCTCTAGCACGCAATGTCTGGAATTGGCAGATTCGGCATCGACACCCATTCGCTGAGCAATGCGAACAGCAGCCCCTAGCATGGAAGACAATGACCGTGGGTCTGTGTCTGGTTTGAGTGAGACCAGGTAGAGATGAAGGGCTGTCAAGCATTCTCGATCGTTAGACTTCAAGAAGTTACAATTCAGCAGCGCCTCCCTTGCACCCAACTGGTAAGATCTGATCAGGTCCGGCTTAGGCCTACCAAACCATGATTGACACTGCTCCTGATTGAGGCTGAAAATAGCCATGCAATAGATGGAGAACATTAGGGCCTCCAAATTTGGATCGATATGTGAGATGTCGCTAGCGGCATCGATGATGCGTGGCTGGAGGGTAGGCGTATGAGTGAGCTTCAATAATGGGTCGACATTCTCCAGGTACAGTTGCCAAAGTTTGAACACCTGGCTTTGTGGGGGATGGAGAACTGATAGGTCGACGGCGGTACTACGCGAGCAGAACAAGAGATCTTCGTTACGGTGTAGTTTCTGCGCATAGAGGTTGTCCCAGGCTTGCACAATCTGCGCTTGCTGTAATGCGTGTTGCGAAGAGCCGCTGTTCTCGGAATCGTCGTCGCTGCCGTCGTCATCAGCATCGTATGCTAATCGGTTTAAGGCAAGCCAAAAACTCCTAGTACAGTTAGTAGTGTCTCTTTCAGGTGCTACAGTTTCTGCGTACTTGGGTTGGGTGTTGTCGGTATCTGATATGATGGACGATTGAGCTCTGGAAATCTCCTGATCACGACTGACGTTACTTTCGTGGGGCCCTGTGGATAAGTTCGAAGATGCATGTAAGGGTTGGAAGGCAATGCCGTTCGTCTTCAAGAGGTCTTCGTAGTGGCGAAGACGCTCAAGCAGCTCCCGTTCGGCAAATCTGCGACGTCGTTGCCGCGGCTGCGTCGCTGCGGAAATGCATTGTACACCCGCCTTCTTGCAGTTTGAGCAAGGAAAAGCCCGGTCACATTTGACCTTTCTTTGCGCGCATAGCACGCACGAAAGCACGCGCTGAGACTTGCTTGCATGCGCTAATGGAGACAGTGCATCAGCGCTGAGTTCAGGTGTGGGTATATCAGACGACATGTCAAGGGAACGAGCTCTCTTCCGTGACGGCGGTACTGATCAGGTATGCGAGCGCGGAGTGGAAAAGGCCACCGCAGAGCTGGTGGCGAGGCAGGCGCTAACCAGGCAGTCAGGCAACCAGACGCGAGGCGCTCGCCTGGACTCTGCTTATCCCCGGGCTGACTGCAACGAAAGAGCATTGTGGCTTCATGTGAGAACTATGGGTCCTTGCGACGAAGAGGGCGGTTCGCAGGATAGCAGGCAGGCAGGTAGGCCGGCGCAAGAGGGTACCCAGGCTCGATGCCACCATCACGACGCGTGAGGCTTACGTAAACCGCACTTCCCGCTTCAGTCGCGTTCGTCAACCACATCCACTCCTTTCTCTTGTTTCAGCAGTGACGGGATGGCATCCGTCCCAACATCTCCGCAATCTTCGCGTTTATTCACGCTTACTACCTCCGATGTCTGAACTTGAGGTTCGATCCGTAAGGGCGTGATGACGCGCACCGACGCCTGAGTAAGGTGCGGCCAGCCTCTCGGACAGATCTAATCCCCGAGCCCATCACGTGATCTCACTCACATCGAACACCGGGCAACTCTGGGCATTCAGGACATTGAATCGTCTCAACACATCAAATCGACAGTATGCGTTCGGAGAAACTCTGGTATTCCCGACCCGTCCTGGATCACTATTACTCTGCAACAGGTCGAAGTTCGCTTCCAATGTTTGCGTAGACCGCTTCCATGTCGGACATTTCTACTCCCCGAACGGGATTGTATTGCAAAACATCGTTCGGGACGTTGCACATACCGAATGTACATATAACAGCCAAGCTTCTCTCGACAGTGTTCTAGTGTATCCAATCTCAAGTTTCTCTTTGAACTCCACTGCGCTCATTCCGAAGTTTACGCCATGACTACACCAGCTCAAGTTGGGACTACAACAATGGCCAAACCCGCTAGTTTGCACGAAGAGCTTGAAAAGGATGCCTCACCTTCAGCCTCTGGAGGTCACGAGTACGCAGATTCCGAGGAGAACTATAAGCCCAAAACACTCAAGTTTTGGCTCGTCATCATCTCGATCTATCTGGCCTTCTTCCTTGTTGCTCTCGACCGCATGATCATTGGTATGTGAAGTTGTTCCGTCTTCAGTCCTTACTGACACTGTTTAGCTACTGCTATACCAGCAATCACAAACACATACGGCACTATCGTGGATATAGGCTGGTATGGTAGCGGCTATATGCTTACGTGCGCCATCTTCAATCCACTCTTCGGCAAAATTTACCAGCTTTACGATACTAAATCGACGTTTTTGGTGTCTGTCTTCCTGTTCGAAGTTGGCAGTGCATTGTGTGGGGCCGCACCTACTTCTGTTGTTCGTAAGTATCCACCAAATCGCGAGATGATGCACTCGCTGACCCTCATTGAAGTCATCATCGGTCGCGCAATCGCTGGTATTGGAGCAGCTGGACTTCAATGTGGTGCGGTCATGATCATCGTACCTCTCGTGCCATTGCGAAGGCGACCCATCTTCACTTCTTTTCTCGGTCTCGCATTTGGAGTGTCATCTGTATTGGGGCCCTTCGTTGGAGGCACATTTACTGACAACCCGTAAGTGTCCAGGCTTTCTTCATGAGTCACGGTTAACACGCGAATAGGATCTTGACGTGGAGATGGTGCTTCTACATAAACCTCCCCATCGGTGCCTTGACGTTCGCATGCATATTTTTCTTTCTGGATCTCCCTTCAACGCCTAAAGAGAAGCTGTCCATTCTCGCTCAGCTCAAGCGCCTCGACCCAATAGGTCTTCTCTTCTTCGTACCATCCATGGTATGCCTTATCCTCGCTCTTCAGTGGGGAGGTACGACCGATCCCTGGTCAGCACCGAGAATCATCGGCCTGCTCGTCACATTTGCAGTCACTTTCACCGCATTCCTGGTTGTGGAGTTTACGATGCCGGATACAGCCATGGCCCCGCCTCGGGTCATCTTGAACCGTTCGATGGGCGGTGCTATGCTATTCATCTTTCTCCTCGCCGGCGGTATGATGAACGCTGTTTACTACATCGCCATCTGGTTCCAGGCAGCCCAGGGCCAGTCTGCCATGCAGGCCGGTGTACGCACGATACCCCTGTGCACATCGCTTATTGTCGCCGGCATCATCACAGCGGTGATAACTCAGAAGATCGGATACTATGTCCCTGCTTTGCTCCTTTCGGCCGTTGTCACATCAATCGCCAGTGGCCTCCTTTCTACACTTACGCCGGAGTCGAGCGCTCGCGAGTGGATTGGTTATCAAGTCTTCTACGGGTGCGGGCTTGGCTTTGGGGCTCAAACAGCGAACTTGGTGCCGCAGACTATCCTGCCACGCTCAGATGTGTCCCTAGGCATGGCGATGAGTAAGTTTCTCTGTATGAACTGCATGTTGAACATACGCTGACTTTGTAAACCTATAGTCTTCTTCCTAAATCAACAAGGTGGTGCTATCTTCCTTGCTGTTGGGCAGAATCTGTTCTCGACCCAGCTTGTAAAGCAACTCTCGGGCAACTCCAAACTCGATACTCAACTCATCATCAACACTGGTGCAACAGACCTCCGAAAAGTGGTAGCGGCGAACGAGATCGATACGGTGGTATCGGCATACAGCTACTCAATAACTCGGACGTTCCTGCTAGCAGCACTACTCAGCGCTTGCACCATCATTGGAGCCTTGATGGTGGAATGGAGGAGCATCAAAGAACGTTCGGGAAAGCCAGCAAAACAAGCGTCAAAAGATGTAGAGAAAGAGGCTGCTTGAACTGAAGCACCCTACATTTGAAATACATGGCAATGAAGCAATCGACGGCGTTGGGAATAGAGGAATTGTAACTAAAAGGGAGTCTCATAGCATCGTAGAGCCTCGTACACAATCGATCGTCATATAAGAAGTTTTCGCAAATCCATCGACATAAATCGACGGACCATAACCTTGCTTCTTACAACTAATTGGCCAAATTACTAACATCAGCGCTGCGCATCCTCTCCTTTGACACCAAGAGCTCTTTCGGAAACCATTCCGATAACTTGCCACCCGGTCTCCCCGGAGCTTCAGGCAAGTCCTCTTCTTCACTACCAGCAATCATGATACCAAGAGCAGCACCCGAAAGCCAGGCCCACACCATGCCCTCTCCCGAGAAGCCCGCCGCAATCCACTCTCCACATGAGTTCTTGTTAGGCGCCACGCGTTCTCGTGTCTTGGCATCTCGCCCAGTCAACTTTGCATCCAAGCGACCGACGAAGGGCATGTAGTCGCCAGTCAGGCCAATGATACCAGACCACATTTGCTTCGACTCAGCACCAGCACCCCATTTGGGATGAAACACTGCCGGAAAGATACCCGTGATGTGTGCGGCGGTCAAAGGGTCGAGTGAGGGACCGTCGTCATACCGCCCGACTTGATCGATACCTTGTTTCAGCGATCGCACGAAGCCGCCTCCGATCATCAGATCTCCTTTGGGACCACTGGTGGCTGGTGGTCGTTGTGTGACGTAGTCGAAACCCTCGCCGTAGACTACACTCCATGAGTGCATGCCGTCAGCGTACGGGAATGTTTGTCCTGGTTGCTGTGCAGACATGTGGGCTCTTGCGCCTACAATCTTACTGCGAAGACCTGGGACAAGATGACTCGCGAAGCTGTTCGTAGCGTGGACTATATGGCGAGCGAATATGGTTCCTCGGGCAGTTTGTGCAGCGTATGGGAAGTCTTCAGGCGCCGTGTCTATGATGCTGATTGACTCTACGGGAGTGTTTGTCTCGATAGAGAGCGTATCATGATAATCGTTGAGAAGATTATTCCAGATAGATGCAACGAATCGGTACGCCCATATAGCGCCTGCTTGGTAGGACAAAGCGCCGACGACGCTGTTGTTGACACCGAATTTCTGTTTTCGTCAGAATCGGGAAGTTCCTTTGCTAGTCACCTCGGGGTGTCGTCGAACCTTCTGAACTTCATCACCTTTCCACACCGTAATCTCGACCTCAGGCAACCATTTCTTCAACTCTTCAACATCGGCGACAGCCTTGGAGAAACTTTCGTCATCCAGAAAAAAGTCCACAGTCTCGACCTTTCGAGCTTCGGCAGACTCAATGCCTTCGCCCTCACATAATTCTGTTAAGTACTTGACGTGCAGAAGCTGAAAGCGCGCTAGAGCAGCGGCACGGTCTTTTGGCAACAGCTTGCTGAATCGAGAGAAGCTTTCGTACACTGAAGGTTTGATGTGGCCGCCATTCCGAGCAGTTGCACCGCTGCATAGCTGTCGAGCTTCGAGGACCACCACTTTCTCAGTAGTGCGGATATTGCGACGGCGTCGCTCGTGTAATAATGACCGCGCGACAGCAGCGCCAGCTATCCCGGAACCGATGATGGCCCCATCCACAGTTTCCGGCAATTTGGACGAACTTGCGTCGCATAGTGCAGGGTGTGGAGGGTCGCTGAGCCAGTAAGTTTCGGATGGCTTGGGGACCGGAAGACCCGGGGGTTGTGATGCACGCTTCAGAGCTTGATCGAACTCGGCTGACAAAGCTCTTAGGAGAGAAGCTGCTGCGATGAGAGCCTTGGCTGTGTTTCGCAGAATTGAGAGAACTCCGCCCATCTTGACCCAGATCTATTGACTGAGACAGCTGATTGCAGATTTGCTTGTTGTACGAGGATGGAGAGTCCCCTGTTGTGCATTTCCTTGGCAAAGTGGATGCCTAGCACGATGTACGAAGTAAAAATACACCTCGCCTCTGTAAACAATCGTTTGGATGCTTGTAAATCTATCATTTCCGTATCGTAAATGCCTATAATAACCACCTTAAACGCCAGCCGTCCCATGCATACCTAATCGCGCCTCTCGTCAAGCGTGCTCTAGCCGACCCATCGCCTAGCACTCTTGAACATGCGTGACCATGGGCCAAGTTCGCCCCATCCTTCTACATCTCGTGGGATATAGCTTCCAACCTCCTTCAAGATAGTGCGTTCGGGGTGCGGCATCATCGCCAATACCCGACCATCGGTACTCCTCACACCGCTGATACCCATTGGACTGCCGTTCGGGTTGTATGGGTATGTCTCGGTTTGCTTTCCGTAGTTGTCGACGTAGCGGAACGACACAAGGTTTTCGTTGTATAGCGTCTGTGGGCTCGAGACCGAGGAAGCAGATTTGGAGAAGTGAGCGCGTCCCTCGCCGTGCGCGGTGACGATGGGAAGTTTGGATCCAGCCATGCCGTGCAGGAAGACAGATGGCGGTGTGTTGGGTCCCTTGGGATCGAGCACTTCGACCATGCAGACACGCGCTTCGTATTGCTCAGACGCGTTACGCTCGAAGCTAGGCCATAGCTCCGCACCAGGGATCAACTCCTTCAACTTGCTCATGAACTGGCAACCATTGCAGACACCAAGGGCAAAAGTATCTGGGCGCGCGAAGAACGTCTGGAATTCCTTGCGTGTGTTGGGGTGCAAAAGGACAGACTTTGCCCACCCTTGGCCTGCGCCAAGCACGTCACCGTAGGAGAAACCACCGCACGCTGCTATGCCCACAAAGCCAGCGAGCGATACGCGCGAAGAGATTATGTCGGTCATGTGTACATCGATGGCAGTGAAGCCGGCCTGGTGGAAAGCAAATGCCATCTCGGCTTGGCCATTCACACCTTCCTCGCGAAGAATGGCTACGCGTGGCTTGGCTGTAAAAGGTGACTTGAGGTTGGACATGAAGGGCAGAATGTTTTCGGCAGGCTTGAAGTTGAGGTTGTACGACAGGCCTGGGTCTTTGTCGTCGAGGATGTTCTTGAACTCGGCGTCGGCGCAAGCAGGGTTGTCTCGGAGCTTTTGCATGCGGTACGAGGTCTCTGCCCAGCGCTGCTGGAGCTTCTGGCGTGTGCTGCGGTAGACATTCTGGGTGCCGACATAGAAAGAGATGTCTTGTTTTGTGGCCTCAGGTACGCGACCAATCTTCTTGATCATACCTGGAGGCGGCCCGCAGGTGGCGAAGCAGCGGTTGAAGGCAACTTCGTCCTTCTTCCTGATCTGGAAGACAGCTCCGAGCTCTTCGTTGAATAGCGTTTCCAGAACATCTTTGGGTTCGCTTGACGCTGCGATGCCGTCGAGCATGACCTCAATACCACATCGTCCGGCAAAGGCCATCTCAACAAGGGTTGTGAAAAGACCACCGTCAGACCTGTCGTGGTATGCAAGCACGATATCCGACTCATGGAGTTGTTCGATCGCATCAAAGTAGTCCTTGATGATATCGGCGTCGTAAACATCGGGTGCTTCGTCGCCGATCTGCCCGAATGTTTGTGCCAGGGCAGAACCGCCCATGTGTTTCTTGCCCGCTGCTAGATCGACGAACATCAGGACGGTTTCACCGACATCCTCAACCCTCTCCAGGGCAGGTGTCCATGTTCGATCTGTGCGGTTGACAGGGGCAAATGCAGTGATGACAAGCGACATGGGTGCTGTGACTTCCTTGGCCTCGCCGTTGTCGGACCACTTCATCTTCATGCTCATCGAGTCCTTGCCGACGGGAATACATATGCCAAGCTTAGGGCAGAGATCCATGCCGATAGCTTCGACGGCCTCGTACAAGGCTGCACCCTCTCCGGGATGACTGCTTGCAGACATCCAGTTGGCCGAGAGTCGGACTCTCGATAGCCTATCGAAGAGGCTTGCTGCAGCAATGTTCATCAAAGACTCTGCGACTGCCATCCTGGCAGATGCGGCCGGCGAGATGAGCGCCAGGGTCGGCTTCTCGCCCATAGTCATAGCCTCGCCAGTCCTGACACCAGCCAGTAGCGATGTAGCTGTTACCGATACATCAGCTACTGGGACCTGCCATTTGCCAACCATCTGATCACGGACAGTAAGGCCACCGACAGTGCGGTCTCCAATGGTGATCAAGAAGGACTTGGAGCCTACTGCTGGTAGGGTGAGAACTCGGTCCACGGCTTCGGCGATCAAGCCATCCTTTGGTGTGTCGGGAATGTACATGGACAAGCTGCTGTCAAAGGCAGGGAGCCTCAACTTGCGGCTCTCGACAATGCGGGACATCTTTGGTGGCTTTCCGAAAAGTGTGGCCATTGGAAGATCGATGGGTGTAGGGTTCTCCTTGGAGTCCCTGTCGTTCAACACCAGACGCTGCTCCTTCGTAGCCTTGCCAACGACGGAGTAACCGCATCGCTCACGGTGGCAGATGCGCTTGAACAAGTCCAGTTGGTCAGGGCTGACTGCAAGCACGTAACGCTCCTGAGCCTCGCAACACCATATCTGCAGCGGGCTCATGCTCTTGTCAACATTGTCGATCTCGCGTAGCTCGAAGATGGCGCCAAGACCAGAGTCGTGGACAAGCTCGGGCAGCGCATTGGACAGACCGCCAGCTCCGACATCGTGAATGAAGAGGATGGGGTTCTTGTCGCCCATGGAGCGACACGCGTCAATGACTTCCTGCGCGCGCCTCTGCACCTCGGGGTTGCCTCGCTGCACACTGGCAAAGTCAAGGTCGACCTTGCCTTCGCCAGACTGTATACTGGAAGCTGCGCCGCCACCAAGACCGATAAGCATGGCAGGTCCACCGATAACGAGAAGGTGCGAGCCAGCCGGTACAACGTCAGGGTCCTTGAGCGCGTGCTGCGGCCTGACGGTGCCCACACCACCTGCCAGCATGATAGGCTTGTGGTAGCCCCGTAGCTCCGACTCCTTCTCGTTTGTAAAGACGCGCATGAGCATGGTGCGGAAGTAACCGGTGGTGCATGGGCGGCCGAACTCGTTGTTGAACTGGGCGCTGCCGATGGGGGCCTCGAGCATGATGTCCTGGCTGCTGGCGATGTGCGCAGGCTTTCCGACGTCCTTCAGCTCCCATGGGCGTTCGAAGCCCTCGATGTTCAGGTCGGACACAGTGAAGCCCGCCAGTCCAGCCTTTGGCTTGGAGCCACGTCCGACGGCTCCCTCGTCACGGATCTCGCCGCCAGAGCCCGTGGCGGCTCCGGGGAAGGGCGATACCGCAGTCGGGTGGTTGTGCGTCTCGACCTTGCAGAGGATGTGTACCGTCTCTTTGGTGCCGTGCCACTCGCCCGTGAGGTCGTTGGGTGCCCAGAAGCTAGCCTCCTCGCCGTTCAAGACAGCAGCATTGTCGCTGTACGCGCTGACAACGTGCTTGGGATTCTTCTGGTGGGTGTTGCGGATCATGCCGAACAGCGACATGGGCTTGCGCATGCCGTCAATGGTGAACTCGGCGTTGAACTGCTTGTGGCGGCAGTGCTCCGAGTTGACCTGGGCGAACATGAACAGCTCGACGTCGACTGGGCCCCTCTTGAGTTCTTGTGTGTATGCCTCTACGAGGTACTCAATCTCCGACTTGTCCATGGCCAGGCCCAGCTCGCGGTTGGCGTGGTCGAGGGCGGCATGGGCGCTGTTGTACTCGTCGAACTTGATGGTCGTAGCCTGCGCAGGTTCGCCCTGGCCGAAGATGGCATCGAGGTTCGGGGCGGTGCGGCTGATGGTCTGCGTCATGCGGTCGTAGAGATGGTCGCGGTTGGGGATCTCGTCGGCTTCGAGGGCGCGATCGAAGGTGGCGGCGATGACCATGCCGCGCTCGATACGCTTGACTGCGCCTTCGAGCGTGCAGGTGCGCGCGATCATGGAGGCGAGGGAGCTCCATGGCGATATCGTGCCGGCGCGCGGGCAGACGTAGAAGAGGACCGTCTTGTCGTCGCGAGGCTCGCCGCCGCGGTTGACAGCGTCGAGGAGGACCTGGGCAAGGCGGTCATCGCTACTGGGGTATTCGCCGTAGTGCAGGATCTGCTGCAGCGTCTTCAACTCATCGTCGCCGAGTTGCTTGAGGGGGTTGACAAAGTGCACCCACAGCGAGCGCACTTCGGTCGCGCCAATGGCCTGGGCGAGGCGCTGCAGGCGGAAGTCGGAGAAGGCGGACGAGCCCGGCAGGATGAGATAGGGGTCCTCGTTAGACGCCATCGTGTGTGACGCCGAGTCGCTTTCTGGGAATCGTAATCGCGGGTGTCCGAAGACCAGAGCGATCGCGGGCGCGTTCACATGGCGGGGGAGGGGGAACTTTTAGAAAAAAATCGGCGCGCGTCACTGCCGCCGAATCCTTGCTCTTTTCCGCGCCGCGACTTTCAGCATGCGGGCCATTGAGATTTCCTACTTATCCAACTAAGAACGGCATATCTCAAGGTTTGAGAATGTGAAATTTGCTCTTATATCTGTTAAAGATGCAATTGCCATGCCAGTCGATATTTTCCACTGTCTGAATGTCTCAGAAACTATCCAAATGCACGCCCACTCCCTTCTGCGCGGCCAACTCCATCAAAGCCTTGCCAATCGCGATATCCATAATACCCACGCCGACACTCTTATACACAACAAACCCCTGTTCAAGCCACTTCTGCACGTCGTCATCTTTCCTGAGCCCATCCACCTTCCCCACCTTAAGCATCTGCTCTGGCTTCAGTCCCGCTGCTACCAGCTCACCAGCCTCGTCCATGCATCCCTTGATGCTATCAACAGTGATCAACCCTTGGTAGACCTGAGAGGCGAAAAGATCGGATGAGTTGCTGATATGCTTTAGTAGTTCTGGGTCAATCTCTTGCATGTCCA